GATGGGAAGGGGGGGAAGTGGTGCGCTGGGTCTACCCTAATTGCACGGATTATGTTCTGTTTATGTTTTCTCTATCTGTGTATGTGGTCCTGCACTTCTTAATAACAAATGTAGATGGTGTTGTGTGTCTTGCGCGTATGCGAGTGATTGGGTTTGTGGAGGCATCGGCATTTGGTGTCGCTGTCTCTTTGTTTGTTTGTTTGTTTTTTTCATGCCGTGTCTGGGAGAGTGGAGGGTACATGTGTTCTTGTCTTTTTTACTTTCTTTGTGTTCTACACTAGAGTTTAGGTAACGGTTGTTACTGCATCCTGCTATCCGTTGGGAGAGATAAAGAGAGAGGTGTTGAATTAAAATAAATCTGTTGTTTTAACTGAAGAGCTTTCGTTGATTGCTTTTTTTTTTTGATTGCGCTGCAGAGTGGATCATGCTTGCCCGGACTTTACTGCGTTTTGAGAAGACTGGACGCACTGCGCGTGGGGTGGATTTTTTGCGCAATCGTTTTACGAATAAGGCTTCTGCCTTTACAAGGAAGGAACGTGAGCATCTTGGCGTTGTTGGTCTCCTGCCTCCTGCGGTGGAGTCCATCGATGACCAAGTGGATCGTGTCTGGGTGCAATTTAATCTTCTCAGCTCCCCAATCAACAGGTACCAATTACTTCGTGGTATCATGGACATAAATGTGACTCTGTTCTATAAATTTGTTCAGAAACACATTAAGGAAACACTGCCTGTCATTTACACTCCAACAGTGGGTGAGGCATGTGAGCGTTACGGTGCCATTTTTATGAGAGACCATGGGCTGTACGTGAGCATGCAGGAAAGGGGAAATATTCGGCAGTGTTTGAAAAATCTTCGTAAACCCAACATTGATATTATGGTCGTCACGGATGGCTCCCGCATTCTTGGCCTGGGCGATCTTGGGGCTAACGGCATGGGTATCAGCATTGGCAAGTGCTCTCTGTATGTTGCGGGTGCGGGCATCAGACCAAGTCGCGTCCTGCCTGTCATGTTAGACGTTGGCACGAACAACGAAAAACTTCGCAACGATCCATTGTACCTTGGACAACGCACTTCTCGGGCCCAGGACAGGGAGTTTTATGAACTACTTGACGAGTTTATGGAGGCGGCCTCTGCTGAGTGGCCCAACGCTGTCATTCAATTTGAGGACTTCAGCAACAACCACTGCTTTGACATAATGGAACGCTACCAGAAAAAGTACCGCTGCTTCAACGACGACATTCAGGGCACGGGTGCGGTGATTGCCGCCGGCTTCCTCAACGCGATGCATGTCAGTGGTGTTCCCGTGAATGAGCAACGTGTTGTATTTTTGGGTGCCGGATCAGCAGCGACGGGTGTGGCGGAAATTATTGCAGAGCTCGCGGCCCTGGAACTTGAGACTTCTGTTGAAAAGGTCCGAAATTCTGTGTATCTGGTGGATTCGAAGGGTCTGGTGACGACTACACGTGGAGACGAGTTGGCGCCGCACAAGGTTCCTTGGGCACGTACGGATATTGCCCCTGAACAAAACGAATCCCTCCGTACGCTGACCGATGTTGTGCGGCATGTTCGTCCGACGGCGCTGATTGGACTTGCTGCTGCCGGTGGTGCCTTTACGGAGGAGATGATCAAGTACATGGCATCATACTGTAAGCGTCCCATATTGTTTCCGCTTTCAAACCCCTCCAGTAAGTCGGAGGTTAACCCTGACGACGCCTACAAGTGGACAAACGGCACCGCAATTGTAGCATCTGGTAGCCCGTTTCCGTCTAGCGTCGTGGACGGCAAAGTACTGAGTCCCGCGCAAGGCAACAACCTTTACATTTTTCCTGGCGTCGGGCTCGGGTGTGTCATTGCACAGTCGCCATATATCCCGCAGGAAGTATTTGTCACGGCGGCGCTGGCGCTTAGTCGCCTGGTTGATACCGAAGTTGTTCTGGCGGAGGGTAAGTTGTACCCGTCCATTGACGGCGTCCGCAACGTGTCGATGCACGTGGCAGTAGACGTCATTGAGGAGCTGCAGCGCATGGGGTTGGCAAAGACTGATCTGCCGAGAAACAAGTCGGATCTCATCAACCTTGTGAAGCAGTTTATGTGGGAGCCGCAATACCTGGAGCCGGAGTACTACCTGTCGAAGCGCTTTGATTAGGCCTCTTTTGTTGTTGTTTTTGTTTGTTTGTTTGTTGTTGTTGTTGTTTTTTGCTCCGCCGTGGAAAATTAAAAAAAAAAAATAAACGGGGGGAGGGGGGGTGGAATAAATAATGAGAAAACGAACGGACTTTTTTTTTTTTTTGTTTTTTTTTTTTTTTTTAAGTGTGTGCGTGTGTTTTTGTTGTTGTTTTTTGGTGTTGTTGTCCGTTTAAAGAATGCCCGTTTCAAATTCCTTCCTCGCATTTGTGTATTCATCCCGGTGTGCCCATTTTTACTTTTTTCTTTGTTTTTTGTGCTCCATGTATGTTTGTCTTTTCTGTTCCTCTCTTTGTTTGTTGCTTTGGTTGATGTGAGGGCTGATGACCATCGCCTCTGATGCGACGAGTGAGGAGGATGACGACTGCCAGTTTGAGTACGTGGCGCCCTCGGCAAACCGGGAGAAGGGGGCTGCAGGCGCTGGCGCCCAGCGGGTGCGCAAGACGGTGTACGAAGAGGAGCGCGATGCACGCGTGAGTGCCATTGTGAGCCAGCAGGGTCTTAAGCTGCCGCTACAGTCGGAGGCGGCCCCGGCCACGCTGCGTGCCACGGAGAAGGAAGGCAAAGTCACGGAACGGCAAGACGCGGAGGAGGAGGGAAAGAAAAGCACCAAATCCGCGCCTAACCCCACGGAGGAAGCGCAGCGACTGAAGAACCAACGCTACTCCATTTACCGTCGAAACAGGTACTTGAACCAGAATGCTCTGAGGGAAGTGGATCCCGGTACAAAGCGCCACATGCAGATTGTGTATACACCCAGCAATGCAGGGGGGAAGCAGTATCATACATTGCGGCGGGGGGGTTACACCGGAACCTTTTCAGGAGGACGACGGTTCACGCCGCGATTTCCTTCAGGGTTTAAAAGAAAACGGGAATGACGCTACACACACATCCCCCCCGCTATCCAAAAGAAAGAAATAAGCTGCGTATACATAACCGCTTTGCAAAGAATAAGAGACAGGGACCTCTTGGATATGATTTCTTCGTCAATGCTTTCCCTCTTCGTATATATATATATATATGTATGTATATGTATATGATTGTTTATTTTCTTTCCTCACGCTGCGGGTGGCGTATTTTGTGCATGGCCTCTTTTTTTTTTTTTTTTTTTTTTTTTTTTTTTTTAGTTTTTTCATTTTTTTTAGCTTGTTGATGCATTTTTCTCTTCTTGTTGTTCACATTCATTTCACTCGTTCTTCCTCTCTCTTCTTCCGTTTCTGTATGCATCTGGCCACAAGGGAGGGGTGGTGGGACGAGGGAGGAGAAAGGAAGGGGAGGGCGTGTTTGAAGGGCGATCGAAGAGAAAACAGTCATGTCGTTCTTTTTTGATGAAGACTCTGGTGATGAGCCTGCAAAGAAACGACACTGCACCGAACAACAGCAACGAGCGCAAGGACGTCCTCATGGCGGCTTTTTTAACGGCAACGGAGAGAAGGATGAAGATGAAGACGAGAGGCCCGTGTTGGCCAGAGCAGGCAGTGATCGGGTGGGACTGCGGCTCCTGCAAGGCATGCAGAAGCCCACGTCGTCATTATCGTCTGTGCTTCTCTCTGGGAAAGAAAAAATGCGTGTGGTGGAGGCGTACGTGCCCCTCTCCGTGGGAGGGTTCATGGAAAGCTCCGCAGAGACGGCCGTGGACAACCTCAGCCAAATAAAGCCTGGCAACGTCATGTGTCTTCGCAGTCCCGCATCCTCCGCCTCACAAGCGAGCAGCGGAATGAATTTTGTAAGGGAGACAGACCTCACAGAAGAGGAAAGACGTTACGGCAAGCGACTTTCTTCGAACATGACGCAGGAGCTCTTTGAGGTGGGCCGCGTGGACCGCGACACGGGAATGCTGGAGGCCATCTTTCTTGACGGAACGCGAAGGAATTTAAAGGCATATGCCGTGCGGCCCGCTGGATTTGTGGAGAAGGAACTTTTTCGGCAGTGGAAGCGTGACCCCAACTCTCGCCCGGTGCGAACTGTGTACGCAGCGTCACAGGACGCGAACGCATCACCGTCACTTTCGTCAACGACGCAAACGACAAGAACAACAGCTGTTGGCGGAGTCAACAGGAAAAACAATACGGCTGCAGTGGAACTGATGCCGTGGTGGGTGAGTCCCCAGCTCATTGTGCGGGTTGTCGAGAAGTCTGCGGGAGATCTGTTTGGGAAAAAGTTTGTGGTGAAATCCCTCTCCCGCAAGGAGGGAAAGATACGACTGGTGCCATGGCAGCGGTCCGCAGGAAACGGCGAGTCCGCAGAGAACTCCCTGGTTGACATTGTGGGGTGTGAGGCGTTGGAGACGATCGTACCCAAGGTGGGCGAACAGGGCATCATTGTGCTTGGAAATATGCGTGGAGAGCTGGTGAAGGTTATGGAACGGCACCGTGACGTGAATGGAGAACTTGCGTCGCTGAAGGTTTGCTCTACACTGACAGGGAACGAGTTTACCGTCGGGCCGCATGAAGTGTGCCAGCTGGCCTGCCCACGGCCCTAATATCATTTTCCAAAAGAAATATGTGGTGCAAAAGGGAAACGCATGCAGATGACGTGGGTGTTTGTTTGTTTGACTTCTTCTTCTTTGTTGTTGTTGTGTGGGGGGAGGGAGGGAGGGAGGGAAGAGAGCGTGTTCTCCATTACAAGTGGCTGTGTTGGTTTTTCTTGACAATTCTCCCCGTGTACGTTCCTCTGCGTATATGTGCATGTGCCCATGTGTTTCACCCCTCTCTCTCTCTCTCTCTCTCTCTTTTTTTTTGCATGGCTGCGGGTGGAACGGCCGTGGACGTGTCGTATTTTTGATGCGGATGTCTGGGAAATTTGCTGGTCGATTGATGCCACACCGGATCGATGAACAAATGGCGTCCTTTTTTGATACAGAATTATCGGCCAGCATCATGCAGCGGCGGTCTTGTGCTGCGAAACATAACCGCCACACGAAGCCACCCCCGCAGAAGCTGCAGGAGCGACAAGAAGATGAGTTGCCGCCGTCGCCTTTTTTTGATGCCTATGTTGTCTTGGACTTTGAGGCGACATGCGAGCGTAACAGACGTTTAGAAGAGCCGGAGATTATTGAGTTCCCCATGGTGTTGATTGACGCCCGAAGCCATCGCATTCTGACAGAGTTTCAACGGTACGTGAGGCCTGTCGTCAACCCGATATTATCGGATTTTTGCACAGAACTCACTGGCATCAAGCAGTCGGTTGTCGACGCGGCAGAAACATTCCCTTTGGTGTTTGACGCGGCACTGGAGTTTCTTCGTGGTAGTGGGTACGGTGAGGCACCACCGTTGCGTAGTTATCTCTTTGTGACTTGTGGAGATTGGGACCTGAAGACGATGCTGCCAAGCCAGCTGCGGACGACGGAAAAGACCGGCACGGCAATTGTCGCCCCGTCCACCTTTAGGCGATGGTGCAACTTGAAAGTACCCATGCGAACCATCGTCCCTACGAAGGCGCGTGGCATTTTTGACTTGAGAGAAATGTTGGCTGCCGTGGGTCTTCCTTTGAAGGGCCGCCACCACAGTGGGATCGATGACTGCAGGAACATTGCATCAGTTGTACAAGAACTTCTGCGGAGGGGGCATGTCATTGCACCGACGACAGACCACAGCGGAATTCGGCAGAGGGAGAGTTCTTTGTCGCGTGCGGAAGACAGACCGCTGACGGGGTTGCGTGGGGGGACACGTGTCCCGAAGAAACACGCTGAAAAGAGGCCTAACGCCCCCATGATGCAAGAGGCAGGAGTACCTGAGCGACCCCATTTGAAAATTGTTTCGGAGGAGGACCCGCTACCGGCACTGCTGAAAAACAGCAACCTTGTGTTGGAAGAGGCGAAGAAGGTCACGTACTCGAAGACACTTACGAGGATTCTTCGTCACGCGGCCGATAAAATGGGCATCCCTGTCTCAAGCGGGGGTTTTGTGCATGTGGACCACATACTGCGATGCAAGCCTTTTTGCAACGACCCGTTAGCCTTGTCACACATTGCTCTGGTTGTTCACACGAACGATAAGAAACGCTTTAAGATGGCGTATGATGATCACCACCGCCTGTACATACGCGCCAATCAGGGGCACAGCCTCGCGGGAATTGATCCGGAGTTACGGCGCATTGAATCCGCTACGGAAATGCCTGCTGCTATTCACGGGACATATTACTCCGCATGGAAAGAGATTTGTGCGTGTGGGTATCTGTCGACGATGACGCGGCAGCATATTCACTTTTCAAGAGGTTTAATAAGTGATCACTGTGTAATCAGCGGGATGCGTTCTAATGTGGAGGTTCTTCTTTACCTTGACGTTGCAAAAGTCCTTGCGGATGGCATTGAGTTGTGGGAAAGTGAAAACGGTGTGCTCTTGACACCAGGCATGGGAAGCACGAAGAGACTGCCGCTCACGTACATTTCGAAGGTGGTGGATCGCAAGACTGGCCAGACGCTTGCGCATGATTAGGGCACCACATAACATTTTTGTTTGTTTGTTTGTTTTTTTGTCTGTTGACGTCTGGCCTGTGGGCATAAGCGTAAGTGAATTGTCATTCCCCGTTTGTTTGTTTGTTTGTTTGCCACTTTTTTCTTATTTTCATTTTGCAGTGTGCAAAAGGGAGAGCGGTGGGACTCGGAGGTGCGCACTCTTTACCCCTCCCCACACACATATACAGACAGGCAGACATACATTTCTATTATTGTGCTTTTGTTTCTTTGCCTTCACTGCGGCGGATGGAGTCGAGGGACGGCTCCAAAACGGCTTCTTGCAGCGGGAATGGTGGTGGTTGGCGTGCGTGCGATGCCTCGCTTCATCCCGTGCGTTCTCTTGTGCTTGACAGAATTTGTATCTATGACCAGCCGTCACACTGTTGTGTCATTGGTACGGATGCGGCAAAGAAGGAATACCGCGTGCTGCACTTCAAAAAGTCAAATAGCGAGGTGTTAAAGTATAGGGATGACGCGGCATACACCCCTGCCCTTGCTCAGGCTCTTATTGAGCGTGAGACCAGGGAAGCAAACACGCAGGTGCTGCGGGCCAAAGCCCTACTGGGTTGTATCCGTTTCACCAGGGGATATTATCTTCTCGTGGCGACGCGGCGTCAGTGTGTGGCGCGTTTGGGGTGTCATCGCATCTTTGAGGTAACAGATGTGGAGTTAGTCTCTTTGTGCATTGCAGATCCGAAATCTATGGTGTTATTGTCCGGGGCGGGGTCCTCACCCTTTTTGCAACCCCGCACATTGGAGGATTATTATCGCAGTCAATTTCTATCAAATTCACTCAAGCAAAACTTCTATTATTCCCATACATACGACCTCACAAACACACTACAGATGAACATGACGCGCGCACGTGTCGGATACAGGGTGCGCTCCAAGTTTGTCTGGAATGAATTTCTTTTGAAGCCGTTCTTTTCTTCATCCGCCTCGTGCCATGCGTCATTTGTCTCTGCGAAGGAAGAAGAGACCCTGCTGGTCCCAGCGGCTGTGGAGCAATGGATCGTATATTTGACGCACGGTTCCATTGTGCAGTGTCCTGTTGTGTGTGGTCTAAAGCCACTTCTTATTACACTTATTGGGCGTGTCAGTAAAAACTTTGCGGGGGTGCGCTACCTGCGCCGTGGTGCCAACAACGATGGTCATGCCGCAAATCACGTGGAAGTGGAGCAGATCGTTGTGGATGAGTCATCTTTACATACACAGTTTACGAGGGGTCGTTTTACCTCATATTTGCAGGTGCGAGGTTCTGTCCCCCTGCATTGGTTTCATTCCGCAACGCAGTTACCAAAACCCCCCATCAAGTTGGGTGTCAGGGATATTTATTACACAAGCACACGGAAACACTTTCAGGAATTACTGGAGGATTATGGAGCACCGCTCATCATAATGAATCTGCTTAAGCAACGCGAAAAGCGGCCTCGTGAAAGTATTTTGGGCTGGGAATATCGACGGGCAGTTATGACACTAAAGGGCTTTATAGATGCGGATGCCGAGGTGGAGAAAAAAGAGGAGGTTCTTTTGTATCATGAATTTGATATTCGTGAGTCAGCTCAGGGTGCATGGAATAACGTTACTGCATTTGCAGAAGGTGCACTGGAACAGACTGGCTTCTTTGTTTGCAATCGCGGCGGGACACGAGTACGACGCCAGGAAGGTGTCTTACGCAGCAACTGTGTGGATTGTGTGGACCGAACGAATCTTGCACAGTTTTTCTTTGGGCTGCATGCGTTGGGTTACCAACTGCATGCATTGGGCCTACTTTACTCTCCTGTGGATCTTGCTTTGTCACCCGGTGTGCAGGATCTTCTTCTTCGCATGTACCTCCTTATGGGAGACGCCATTGCTGTCCAATATGGTGGCTCACCTCAGGTTGGGGCTGGTGTACTAAACAGAGGCACAGGATGGGATCAAATTATGGGCATTAAACGTCTCTACAACAATATGGTTGGCGATCGTGAGAAGCAGTCAGCGCTTAACCTGTTTTTGGGAAGGTCTCACCTGTACCCCAATGCGCACTCGGGTACGCGCGATTCCTGACACGTGTCGGGGAAGTGGAAGAAGAGGCATTAGTAGTGGGAATGAGAAATTCAAAGGGTAGTGGTAGTGGTAGTGTAGTGTTAGGAATGAGACCAGCGATAGGGACTCGGGACACGCTGCAGGAAGGATGGGGCTGCGACATTTTTTTGAATCTCGAAAGAGCCGCGTCGGGGACCTTTTGGAAATGGATCTCGAGTGTTCGTTGCAGATGAAGAGTGCCCTTCCGCCTGCCAAAACCGATGATGTGAGGGGCTGGTGGAGGGATCCTCTGCAGCGCCATCAGTGGCTTATTTCTGCATCCACTGCGTCGTCGCCATCGAAGCATTCATCCGTGGGGGATGTGGATTACGAGACAAAAAACGAAACGGAAGCACTCATAGCTCGTATGTGTATTTACGAACGTGCCGCCGCCATGAAACAAGAGGATGAAAATGCCACAGATGAAGCAAGTAACGGGGCGGCATTGCAAGAAGGGGAAGTTGTCGCTCTCGTGCTAACCACGGCATTGAACACGTTGGTACGCCGCACGGTGATGCCGCCATTTCGTCTTTTCTCCATGCAGAAGCTGGATTTTATGCGATCTCTCATGGTACAGCGGGAGGCGGATTCTGAGAAGATATACTGCGAGAGTTCTGAGTCGTTTGTGGAGTTGCTGCACAACCACCATGATTTTCCGGATGAAGTGCGGGCCAGCATTTTTTATCAAGATATTGACTCCGTGCGGCGAATGAGCGAGGAATGTGAGCCTCCCGATGATATGCACCGCATGCATCTTGCGGTGCTCTCCATGTACGGTGACCCGTTGGAGTGGAACGTGGAGACAGTTTTGGAGGCGCTGCTGGAGGTGGAGCCGAAGGTGAGTGCGGAGACGGTGAATTATTTGCGTCGTATGAAAGTGGACGGATACGCCTTGCTGCAACATCCCAACACTGCCGACGCCATAGGCCAGCGGGAGTTGTTGCGCCGCTTCATACGTCTTGTGAAAGAACTACCACGGGCGAGTTTGGAGTCTGCACGCCGTTGCTGTGCGGAGTTGGAAAGTGAGACAATGGAGTGGACACAAACTGGGGAAGAAGAGAGTTATAGAAATGGCAACACTAGCGGTGGTAGTGATATGATCGCATTTCCAGACTCCACCTGCCGTCTTCTACAGCCATTCTTTAAGGAGGCGGTGTACCCCGCGACAATGGGAACGGTGGTGAGAAGGCTGCTGCAAAACATGTCCGACGTGAAGTCTGGCGTCCCACGCAGTGATCGTTTGCGCTACCGTGAGAAATTTTATCATCGCGTTCCACCTGCAGTCGTTGCGACGCAGTGTTTTAGTGCCAATGAGTTGCATGCATGGCTGCTACGCAACTCCAGTCGCCTGGGCCTCACCCTACATAAGCATGTCGAGCAGCATGATGCATCCGAGGCGTGTTGGAAGTTTATGCTTTGGCTTGCCCACGCCAACCTTGTGACTCACATTATTATTGAACCAAGTCATGGTGTCATTGTTTATCCCGTTAAGAAACTAACCGACTTTGCCTCCCGCACTCAACTCTTCACACTGCGTCCTCTTCAGGAGATGCACGTGCTGAACAGGGATGGTGCGTTTAAGGGGGATGTGGAACTCTCAGTGGGGTCCATGGCTTTTCCCCCTCCTCCTCCAACCGGATGTTCAGCCGTCGTGTGCGCCGAGTCTCTGGTGAGTGTGGCATTGCGGGCTCTTTCTTCTGTGCAGGAGATGACACTGACGAATGCGGGGGATTTCTCTGAGAACTCCAACTTTCGTGTATTGCTTAACGCTCTCTTCGCACTCAGCACGCAACTTGTGGAAGTTGACATCACAGTGCTTCGCCCACGTGAGCAATGGTGTTTCTGGGTGAACGTCTTTAACGCCCTGTACATCCATGCCTGGTTGGCCGCATTTGTCGTGCGGGCGCAGGAATATTCAACGTTTCACAACACCAATGGGTATGAGATTGGCGGCTACTTTTTCTCATTGAGCGACATCAAGAATGGCCTTCTTCGCGGAAACAAGCCGGCATCTTATGCGCTTCTACCACCCTTTGAAACGGGTGACCCGCGTGTGTTGTTTACCCCTACCGAGCTCGAGGAGACGGCGGATAACTGTGGCATTGAGATGATTAAGAAGGCAGCCGATCCGCCGATGCATATTCTTCGTGGGCGAATTCTGCTTGCCCTCATTGACACGTTTCTTGTGCCTGATAAGCTGGAGGATGCGCAGGTGTACAATCCACGCACACTATTTGATGAGGAGGAACCAACGGCTCTTCAAAATTCTTTCAGTCGGACCGAGATGCCGCCTGTGAACACAACAGAAATCAACGACAGCGATGATGACATGAGCCCTCTTCACGGGGGTGGCGATGAGGAGTTTGCTCTACAAGAGTTGAATCCTACGGCCCGAGATGTTTTGCGACGGGCGGGCAACATCCCATCCGGGGCGGCAACATGGTTGACATCGTGGTTCGGTAATCGTCTAGCGAGTAAGAGCGCTGCCTTTACGCATCCGTGTGTGCCCCTCATTCCCGCCACGCTGCAAGGGCAAATCTACGCCATTGAGGGACATGTCCTCCGCTCACTCACTCATTCATCCCCGCAAGCCACGATGATACGAGACGGCACTGTTTGCCCCCGCGCCCTGCTACCGTTATTGTTTTATCCGGAGGAGTTTGGTACCAACGCCGACGAAATACCTCGTTTGATCTACCAACTGCACATGAATGCAGGGGGGCGAAAGATGCATTGTTCGGTCTCCCTCAACTCCCCAACTGCATCCATATCACTGCCGGGAGACCCGATGAGACATCGAGAATTCTGTGAGCAGGTGGGGAACGAAACTCAGCGCATTCCCTGAGGAAGCGAGAGCCACGCCGAGGAGGGAGGAAGGAAGAGTATAAGGGATTTTTTGCTTCGTCGGATGTGGAGACGTCCGTTTGTGACCGTACCACACACACACACACGCACCGTCTCTCTCTCTCTCTCTGCATGGTTCATTCCTTCTGCTTTTTTTTTTTTTTTTATGTGCCCAATTTTTGGATTTTGGGGGCGAAGACGCCGTTGCCTTTGTTCTGCATTTGTTGACTTTGTTATTTCCCACTTTTATGGCTCTACCTTTTCTTCTCTAAACGCCCGATAATCATATTTTTTTTTGTCTTATATTTTTGCCTGTGTGTGTTTGTGTTTGATCCACTTTCCCCTTTGATGTCATGCGTGTTGTGTGCCTCACGGGAAGGGAAGGTTCAATTGGTTGTAGAGGAGGATGTTTCTCCGCACGCATGTCGAGCGGCACCGTAGTGGGAAAGCACGTGCGTTTGTCTTTCGCGATCCGACGCTGAAGATGATGCGAGCGGGGAGCGGGTACCAGCAGCTGCGGCGCATGGGCATGCCGATTCAGGTGTCGAAAGGGTGGCGCAAGGTGGACCACTTCCACGCAAACAATCAGTATCAGCACGCCTGGCCGCTGTTGTCGCATGATGATTTGGGAAACAGCGATCAGTCCAATAACACAAGAAACATCATGTACTCCATGTACTTGCCGAAGCGTAATAAAGGCACCGCACCATGGTTTCGTGGCGCTGACACATATAGCGTCAAGTACTGTGAGCAAGGCCGTTACGAGTACCAGCGGTATCTCATGATTAATCGGTTTCCAAGTGAGTACCGTAAACATTTTATGAATTTTCTTTCCAACATTCGCTCAAGCTCCGGTCCGGCAACAATCCCTCAGGAGGCACTTCATTGGCTTCTCCGCATGATTGTGGACAACTTCAATCCCCAGCATGTTCATTACATTGCGGCGATGAAGACGCTGCAGAATGCCGGTGAGTTGGATATGGCACGGGATGTGTGGAAAATTATGGAACGACAACAAACATGGCCATGTACATCCACGATATGTGCCTACCTTGATGTCTGTGTGGAGGCCGGGGAAAAGACATGGGCCATGGAGGCATGGAATCGATACTGCACGGAGTTAAAATTCCTGCAACCCGGAGAAGTGGACCCAAAACCGGTTTCACGTGTACCCTTTTCATTGACACGTGAAGAGCTGTTGTATCTCCCCAAGTGGAAAAAGCACTTTGACCACGACCCTAACCTTGACGTTGTGGATCTCAACCGGTTTAACCGAACACGGGAAGTCTACCTACGCATGGCACAAGTCATGCTGGCAGGGGGAGAACGTGACTCCTTTCAACATTTCTACACAAAATTGGAGGAGGCCATGTTATCCACACCGACACCAGTGCCCGAGCCGCCAAATCCACACCTTGTACGACGGCCCCAATGGTCACCCTATGAGCACTGCAAGTCCGTTCATCATTCTCCATGGCGTGTGGGGAATAACGGGCGTGCCATGGCGCTTGGCCCTTCTTTGACGACGGAAGACGAAATGCAAAGTCGTTTCTTTTCCAATGATCAATTTTTGGTGCACATGCTTAAAGAAATCCTCCGTATTGTGCTGCAGGAACACCGACGCCGTCACCCTGAGGCGTGCAGTCGTGGTGAGGGCGAAGCCTTTTTCGATCAGGTGGTGGATGCTAGGGAGACGTTGAATTTTTGTAATGAATTGATCGAACGCCTCTTCGCAGTACTGGGGCAAAAAATGCACGGATTGAACACATCTTCTCTTCTTTCAGTAATTCTTGAGCTGTATCGCGTGATGGGGAAGGAGACGGGGATGGCGCTGCTGCGTCGTGCTAACCAATTTTTGGAACGCAAGGCCGCACTAGAAGACGGGGCAAAGGAGTCTCTTACGGCTCCAAATTATCTGCAGGTTTTGATGGGATTTGCCGATGAAAGTGCATATGTGTACGACAGCAAAAGAAAGGGTTTATGCCGCTACCGAAGTGGATTTGATCCCCGGACGACCATGCAGCAACTGGCGGCCACGGTGCAAGAGATTGCAGGAAATCCACATGTTACCTGGGCTGCAGACATGCATTTGCAAGTGGTCTGCACGATGGTGGGCTGTGGAACCATGAAGGCAAACGATTACTTTGTGCGGAATGTACTTCGACAATTTTGCTGGGACAGCAGATTCCTTGAGGCGCTCTACATGGAATATCGTCGACATGACGATGTTGACATGTGGGCGGAGCTGACGAAGCGTGCACTGGTGTGGACCGCTCGATACAACGTGAACGCGTCAGAGCGACTGAAACGCCTTATTGAGGATGACTATGATACCATTCAGGTCCACACCCGTACGTTTCGCGAGTTGGCAGTCTTCCAGTTCCGTGACGTGGAAGAAAAGCGGCATAGTCGCGATGTGGTCAATGAACTTCCAAATCCGTGGACCGATTACGTTTCCCATGCATTACCGTTCCCTGACCGCGATGCCGGCTACCCGGATGAGTATGGTGACATTGGCCAATGGCGTGCGCCCGGTGGACCGGGCTCTCCCGTGAAAGGACCCGGTTATTATGCACCACCCATGGAAGGGGAACACCAACGCGGCTACACCGCAGAGTGGCGTGATTTGAAAAATCCGATGCGTCCACCAGAGTTCCCGACCCCGTGGGAGCGGAAGTACAAGCAATATGCCCGCGGACAGCATCCCTCGTATGACATGGTCTACGCAGGACCCATGCCTGAGATATTCCCCAATCGATATGACTTTCGCAAACCGACAAGATGGGACTTCCACGACATTGAAAAGCAGGGGAAGTACAAGACCAGTGGTCCTTACTAGCGCCATGGATTCGACACACATGGGTGTTGTTGTTGTTGTTGTTTTTCTCTCTTTTTGCCGCGCCTTCATCCCATGTTTCTCAAAATAACAAAAAAGAGGAGAAAGACGGTTTTGGGGAAGGAAAAGAAGAAAATGCAGGAGGGGAATTTGGAAGCAGAAGGTGGTGTTTTCGTATATGTGATAATACGATGAGAAGGAAACGCCTTGGCAGCATCGTTTTCTCTCTCTCTCTCTCTCTCTCTCTCTGTCTGTGTGTGTGTGGCCTGCAGTTGGTATTTCACCTTTTCTTTCCTTGTTGTTTTTTTGCTGATTTGGCCTTTTATTTTTTATTCCAACGTCTTGTGTGTGTGTGTGTGTGTGTGCGTGGCCGAAGGGTGATAGCCAAAAGAAAGAGTGGGGGAAAGTGAGGAACGCCGGGCTCGCCATGTCAACCACATCGCGTGCGACTTTGGTGAAGTACGAGACGCCCGTGCTGCTCTCCGAGGTGAAGCGCAGAAGGGCAATGAAGGAGAAAAGAAAGGAAACACTTGGGCCGCAGACCATCCCACAGCCGGAGGATGTCTTGTACAGCATCATCCCCCCACGCGAATATGAGGAGGGCGGTGAGCGCTGGGTGCAATTTGTTTCCAGTACCCCTGCAACACGATTGGATGTAATTAACTTGCAAGAACGTCTGGACGCCCTTCTACAGGAGCGGCAGGCGCGGGAGACGGGTATTTGCCCAGTGCGCGAGGAACTCTACCGTCAGGTCTTCGAGGAACTCATTCGCCAAGTAACAGTGAACTGTGCCGAGCGCGGGCTGCTTCTGCTTCGGGTGCGGGATGAACTTCGCATGACGCTTGACGCCTACCGCTCCCTGTACGAGAGCAGCGCCGCCTATGGAATGCGAAAGGCACTTCAGGCGGAGCAGAGCAAGATAGAGATGGAGGCAAAGATTCGTGCATTGGAGCGAGAGAAGGAGGAAATGCGGCAGCAGGTGGATGAATTAGAGGCCCGCTGTGATGCCATACGAGAGCAGGAGGCGGAGCGTCGCCTGGAGGAGGAAAAGAGGCATGGCGAAGAAGTGGCCTTCTTCCGCCGCACATACCAAACACTCACAGCGAACCTGCAGACGGTCTGCAACCCGACAAGGACGTAAATATGGTTGTTGTTGTTTGTTTGTTTGTTTGTTTTTTTATTTTGAATAGGAGGTCGTAAGAAAGAAGGGGATGAATGAAGAAGACGTGGACCAGCGCAAGGACGCTCCCTCCGTTCACAACAACAAATGACTTTCTTTACTTTTTTGTTGTTGTTGTTGCTTTGCGTTCAGGAAATGTACAGAAGAGACCACGACGGATCTTTCAAAAGAGCAGAAGAAGAGGAATAAGAGGAGGCTGTGGGCATCCCGTCGTTGCCGAAAGGTGGTGGGATGAAAAGAGCAGCAATGAAATGACGGGGGGGGGGGGGGGGGAGGAATTTATATTTTATTTTCTCCGTTTCTTTCTTTTTTTCTTTTTTTTCTTTTTTTTTTTTTTCTCTTTTCTCTCTCTTTTTGAGACTTCCTTGCGTTTGGAGTTTTGTTGTGGACCTCTTTTTCCCTTTCGACTTGCCCGCGCTGAAGGCTGAGTGCATTTGCCTCGTCATTTTTGTTGTTGTTGTGGTTATGGTGGCGGCGGTTGTTTTTGTATTTTTTGTTTCCGATGTTTTGCCTGCCCCTCTTGTCCCCTCCAGTCGCTACCCAACCGCACTTATATTCACACCAATATTTTATACATTACATTACACTAAAAAAAGAAGCAGAAATTTGCGACGACACGATGGCATCGAAGCCTCAACCCATCGCCGCCGCAAACTGGAAGTGCAACGGCTCCGAGAGTTTGCTTGTCCCACTCATCGAGACGCTCAATGCAGCGACTTTTGATCACGATGTGCAATGCGTGGTTGCGCCCACCTTTCTCCACATCCCAATGACGAAGGCGAGGCTCACCAACCCCAAGTTCCAGATTGCCGCACAGAACGCGATCACAAGGTCGGGCGCTTTCACGGGGGAAGTCTCTCTGCAGATCCTCAAGGACTATGGAATCAAGTGGGTTGTGTTGGGCCACTCGGAACGGCGTTTGTACTACGGCGAAACGAACGAAATCGTTGCGGAAAAGGTGGCGCAGGCCTGCGCTGCCGGCTTCCATGTCATCGTCTGCGTTGGTGAAACCAACGAGGAGCGGGAAGCTGGCCGCACGGCAGCCGTCGTGTTGACGCAGCTCGCCGCCGTCGCGCAGAAGCTTAGTAAAGAGGCGTGGGCTCACGTCGTTATTGCCTACGAGCCCGTGTGGGCAATCGGCACCGGTAAAGTGGCAACCCCGCAGCAGGCGCAGGAGGTCCATGAATTGCTGCGCCGTTGGGTGCGGAGCAAATTGGGCGCTGACATCGCCGCGCAACTGCGCATCTTGTATGGCGGATCCGTGACCGCCAAAAATGCACGCACGCTCTATCAGATGCGCGACATCAACGGCTTCCTTGTGGGTGGTGCCTCGCTCAAGCCGGAGTTTGTTGAAATCATTGAGGCCACGAAGTAGAGGAGAGGGGAATGGCGCGGGGAAAAGAGAAAAGCAACTATCAGGCCAAAAATATGATGGCGATGATGTAAACAACCAAAAAAAAAAAAAAAAAAAGAAAAGCAAGAAGAAAAAAGGAGAGGAAATGCGTCTTTTCTATATGTTTATTTTTCCCTTTTCCGTACGCTCACTGCGCTTACTGTGCGGCTTTTTTTTTTCTTTTTTTTTTTTTTTTTTGGGGGGGGGGGAGGCCGTGTTTAGTGGGTATTACTCCCTCGCTCATTTGGAAGTCGTGTAGGCTTGTGGATTGCAAAGATGGAGAAGAAAGTAATTTAATGTAATTTAATTATAATTATAATAACGAAGAAGAAAGAAAGAAAGAAAGAAAAAAAAAAAAATGAGGAAAAATTGAATAAGAGAAACGGTTATACCAAAAAAGAAAGAAAAAAGGGAGGGGGGAGGGAAGAGAATCAAACTGAAGTGAAGGAAATACGCCTGTGTGCGCGCATATTTTTGTGAAGAAATTAAACCAAAAGAGAATGAAACCAGAGGCGCAGAGCACCTAATGAAAATATACGTGTGTGTGTGTGTTTGGAGGGGTGAGGGGGTTGGTTTTGTGGTCTTTTTTGCCCTTTTTTGGTTGAAGGCAACAGCGTTTGTTTTTTTGTTGTTGTTTTTTTTTTTTTTGCGAGGGCTGTTGGGGGAAATGTTTACCAAATGCCTTGGACGTGGTGTCTTCTTCTTTACTTTCTTTCCGCGTGTGTGTGTGTTTGAGGTCATAACAGAGGGAACGTGACGGGTATGCGGCAGTTTGGATCCTTTTCGCCGGCGGCAGCACGATTCCTGTCTTTATCGCCATCTTTGAGGCGACAAGGGGCCGATCACGCTGCCATAGTCTTCCCCCGATGTGGTTCTTTGTTGGTCCCTAGTCGTTGTTACTTTTGGCCGTTCAATGAAGACTTTGTTCCCAGAGGGGCGACGACGAGCGGCTTTCAGTCGAGCGCCTCACCGAAAACGCGGCAGCGGATACTGCAGGAGTACGCGCTGAGTCCTCTTTTTGGGGCGCGCGTGCCGTGCTGTACGCTGGGAAGCATGAGGTCCCCGAGGGAGATGGTGAGCAGTAAGAAGGAGATTTCGCTGTTTTTGTGTGAGCTTGTGCGCATGCGGGCGGGCAGCATCACTCTTGGACCGTTAATTCAGACAACAGACATGATGTTGTTTAAACCAGACACGCCGTTGAGTCCGCGATTGGGCGACGATCGGAAGAGCGGCATGCACACGTACGCTCGGAAGCCGATTGCAGCACGAACTCTGATGGATGTGTTTCTGCCGGAGGATATTGCGCTGGACGAGGTGGTTGCAATCGGGCACCTCGTGCAGGAAAAGTTGCTGCTGGCACGGAGTGATCAAAACGGGATGTCCTCTGATGCAAGTGGGAGTGCTGCTCCTGTTGTCACCAGTGGGATGGATGATGAGGCATGCATGCTGGTGGGTCGCATGGGCATTGTGTACTGCGAGGTCCCGCCGCTGGACGAAAGTGGATTTGTGTTCGATGCGGTGTGCGGGGTCAACATCGACGCTGATGAGGCGGAGCGTGTCGTGCGGCGGTGGCAAGAGCGGGACGATTTCCAGCAGACAGGCCAGCCATCTCCCACATGAAGTGCGAAGAGGGGGTGAGTGAAGAAGACGATGATGAAAGACGTCTGAGAAGACATGCATAAGTGGGCACCTCGTCCCCCTCACGTGTCTTCATTCCATGACGCCTGCAAGGGGGTAGTGGTATCCAAACACCTCTGGCATCGCCGTTTTTTTTTTTTTTTTTTTTTTTTTTTATCTTTCTTCTTATCACGTCCCCACACGTACCAACAGGGAAATTAAGAAGGAGAGAGCAGGGGAGAACACAGTCCGTGGGAAAATGGGGGGGTGCAAAAAGCAGATGCTCATGAACAGAGGAGCCCGCGGGGGACGACCGCTACTGCTGCTACCGCTTGTCATGTACGTTTTTGTTGGAGTTGTGGTTCCGATGGTGGCGGAGGGCTTTCGCTTCACCGCGCGTCCGGGACGCAAGTGCTTCACGGAGGAGTTACCGGAGGCAGGCCGCTATGAGCTCCACTACAAAATGTCCCGCAGCCTGACGCCCTTTGTGTCCGTTGGCGTCTCGGCCCCCGACGGACGTGTTGTCGTGGAACACGAAATGGCGCAGGCCGACGCAAAGGAGATTGTCACGGTAGACAACCGAGGAGAGATTGCCATTTGCTTCACCGTGGCGGAAAAGGCGCGGCATAGCGCCACCTCCTTCAACGTGACGCTTGAATTGATGGACGCGGAAGATGCCGAGTTGACGCGGCAGAAGCGACAGGTTTACAGCACGTCCAGCGCCATCGCGGTCGGGGTTGGTAAGGCAAGTGGAGCGATACAGCAGATGGATTACATCTTCCATACCACCATGCGGATACGTCTCGCATTTGTAAGTCTTACGAGGATGGAGGACGATGTACGGTACTTCTTTAAAGAGATGAAAGCCGTCTCCTGGAATTATGTTTACATCTTTGTCGCCGTAGCAACATTAATTTTTTTTATTACATATTTCCGCCTACGGCAGTACTTTCAGGTACGTAAGTACATTTAAAATTAAACGTAACTCCCCAGACAGCACATACAGTGCATATATATATATAACGGTGTGTAGGTCCCAGAAGCGAAAGGCAAATTGAGAGGAATGCGGGTACACATGCGAGCATACGGTGCTCTTGTGACAAACAAACAAAAAAAACAAAAAAAAAAAAAAGGCACATCCGTCAATGGTGGTTAAAATCTTTTTGCTGCTTCTATCTGCCTACAGGGGGGCAGGGAAGTGGCATGCATAATTTAAAAATATTGACAGAGCGGAGAAGGAAGAAGAGGAGGATTTGTCTTTCCCTTGCGGGATGGAAGTCTAAAAAAAAAAAAAAAAAAAAAGGTGACAATAAATATTTTGGACGTTATTAGTTATTATTATTATGCGTGTGAATGTGTATGTTAAATTATTGTGGGTTATTATCATTATCGTTTTCCTCTCACTCCCACCCTGCTTCTATTTGGGTCCTTGCCGCAATAGGCATTGCCCCCGGGTGGGGGAAGGGTGAGGCCAACCCCTGTCATGTGCAAATACGATTGGGGGTAACATCCTTCTTTTGTCGGCGATTCATTTTTAGTTGTGTGTGTGTGTGTGTGTGTGTGTGTGTGTGTCTGCCGGTGTCAGCTGAGCGAAGATGTACGTGCCAGTCTGCATGAACGCATTTTATTTTATTTTTTTCCCTTTTTTTTTTTTTTTTTTTTGCGGATGGGCATCTGCCTCCATTCTACTCGCGTATTTCCTCTCGCAGACGAGGACGGCGCTTTCCACAGAACACGTACACATCTGAGAGCATCACAAGAGGATTTCTTTTTTTTTTCTTTTTTTTTTTCCTTTTTGAGGGTAGAGGGACGGAGGGAAGGGTTTTGGAAGGAGGAGAAAACGCGGCAGAGGGCAAGTGTTATTCATATACACTCGAAAGAGGGATCCTTCTATAATATACATACATCCGCGTGCTTAAATTCTCACGGCAAAATGGATCGTTCCTCGTGGCTTTCCGTCTCTATCATCTTTCTCATTATTTTGGCAGTTTTATTGTTGCTTTATTTTGTCGTGGGAATTATTGTGCGGTACCACAAGGGCATGCGACACTGTCCGGAGGTGCTACCAAACTATCGTTGTTGGTGTGGTCTTTTTCACGGCCTTGTGGTGTTACTCACATGTGGCCGCTATGCACCACGCTTTGCTTATTGCTTGAATAATTATCGTTATGGCAACAGTGGTGGGGACATGCATGAGTCGGCATTGCCGAGCCGACCACGGCAGGCTCGTCACCTCGCGTTTGAAGCGCTTCAGAGCGATGATGAGGAAGACGAGTCCAGTTGGGAAATAAATGTCGCCATGCAACCGTCCGATGCAGTGACGGTTTATCCCACCGTTTAACGCGTCGAGAAGAAAACAAAAAGAAAAAAAACAAAGAGGCAAGAAAAATGAAACAAAAGGAAACGGAACAGAAGAAGAAAAAAGAAAATGTGCTCGGTGGTGGTGGGGGGAAAAAAGTTTACGGCTTCTCTGTTTCTTCATTCCTTTTTTCCTTTTATTTCTGACGGCACGGCTGTGGAGTTTTTTTTTTTTACTTTTTCATGTTTTCCTTCACTCGTCCCTTTTATTTATTTTTACTGACTTCTCTGCACGTGTTTAGTGTGCAGGTTGCTGAGGGACTGAGGAGATGAGCCTTGTGACTCGCTTCAAGAAGCAGCGAGGCGGGGTGGAGTCCGTGCTCTTCTGGGCCTCGTCGCTGGCGAAGTCGCAGCGGACGCAGGCGGTGCCGCCATCTGCGAGCGGCGAAGTCGTGCCTTCTCCTCCTCTTCTTCCTTTTCCTGCTGCTGCTGTCGCTGGCTGCGATGACGCAACCCCCGTTGATCCGCAGCAGAAGCACCACGTGGAGGAAGAGGAGGAAAGAAGCCGTGGGGATGCGGAGATGCAGCCCGTCACGGGGAATGGAGGAGAAACAACGGCGGAGCAGAAAGAGGACGATGGGGCGAATGTGCCAGGATGCCAACAGGAACAGCAGCAGCGTACGGTGCCCACAGAAACCATTTGGGTGCACGATTCACCGGCAACATCATCGAGGTCAAGGGCCGATGCCGCGGTGGCGGCGACGTCGAATGTCTCTAAGCACAGAGGGGATTATTGCCGCTTCAAAGATGTCCTGATGGTCTGCGAGCCCCTTCTGCAGGGGTTGTTGGGGCCCGTGGGCATAGATGTGGAGATGAATGGCACAACCGCGATGCTGCGTGACCCTAACGGTTTTGCAACTGCGCTTGATTCTTTGGAAAAGGCCAGCTGCGACAGTTTGCGTCATTTCCATGATTCCATTCAATTATTCTTTATTATTCGTGGGGATTCCTTCTACACTCTGGACTCCTCCGTCTGCTCGCCGTTGGTGTTTTTGGCGAAACTCCTGTCCGTCCCTGCGGTGACAAAAATTGTGCATCAGGCGCAGCCCATTTATCGATTGCTCTTCATGTTCTTGGGCACGGACCGCGTGGAGGTGCGTAACCTTGTCGACATCTCGGTTTGGTCAGCCGTGGTGGAACGCGTCTGCGGGCCACGTCCCTACACGAAGGGTTTTGCCGATTCGCAGAGTCTCTGGCAATCTCTCCCTGAAACTTCACGGGAAAGTATTGAGGTACAATTGGAGAAGGCGAAGCAAGAGAGGTGGTGTGAAGGCACACTGAAGGCTGAAGAAGGTGAGGCAACAATGGTTTTATCATCATCATCACCATCATCATCCGGAGAGATGCCGTTGCCGCAGTTACTGGGAAGATTCAAGTCTTTGGCTACCCTCTATGCCTACTACGAAGCCTACCTGCAGTCTGTAGAGAGCAGCGGTGCGACGGGCAATGTTTTCATGTCGCTTTTCACTGTTTGTAGCCTCGAGACACGTGTCAGCTTTCTTTGTGAGGTCATGTCCTATCATGGAATGTTTGTGGAGAAAAATATGCTTGATTCTATGGTAGCGGATCTCGAACAGCAAATTAAGGCCCTTATCGAAAAGGGAAATGTGGCCCTGCGGGCAATGGCAACAGCCAGTAATGAAAGCATAGACATGGAGACAGTGGATGCATGGAACCTTATAAAAACCCTGCAGTCTCAGTTTGGTGGCCCTTGGACCTTTGCGAAAGGAAATGTGGAAGAACAGATGCAGCAAATTGGCGCATACCTGGATGAGAAGCAGAGTTGTGCGGATTCAAATGTGGCACGCATATGGCTGGCGCTGCATGAACGCCGTGAATTTAAGCGTTCTCTCATGGAAGGTTTTACCAAAGGCGCGAGCATGCAAGCCCGTCTTATCGCCGTTCCAGAGGAAATGGCATCGACGGAAGGTGGAGGTCACAGCAATCCCCACCACGTTGGGGCACAGTACCGACTTTTCTTCTCTGTACATGCAAAGTGGAGTGTTCATCACGCCACCACGTCTCGGCTCTTTTGCTCTCGACCATGTTTGCAAACCGTGGCAAAGAACCCTCCAATCTCACGCACTGCGCCGTCTTCATCACCGCCTGTGACAATTTTCACCAACCCTGAATGGACACTCCGGCACTTATACGGTCCACCGCCTGGATGTACCCTTGTGTCATTTGATTTTAATCAAATCGAGCTGCGTGTCATGGCACACTTGAGTGGTGATCCACTTCTTGTGCAGCAACTTCGAGGCGGCTCGGATGTATTGGCGGAAATGGCTCTCCGCGTGATGCAGCTGCCGCGGCTGGCGGACGTTACGCCGTACTTGCGACAAGGGACAAAGGTGGTGGTGTATGGTTTGTTGTATGGCATGGGGCCGGAGTCGCTGGATCTGCGGCTGCGTCAACTGCATAAAGAGACAACGCCATCCGCGGAGCAGCCGCCACTCTCCGCGCGGCAGTTTTTGCGGTCTTTCAATCAATGTTATCCCGCCGTGCAGGGCTTTTTGAGGAGTACGCGACTTCGGGCATTTCATGAAAAGCGCTGCACCACGTTGAATGGCCTGCGGGATTTATCGGGGGAGCCGGACGGCAATCGACGCAAACAGATGGCGGTGGCGTTGGCCATTCAAGGCGGGGCGGCCGTCATTCTGCACCACGCCATGGTGGAGGTGCACGAGAAACGGCATGAGTTGCTTCCCTTCCTTCCCGCGGCTGCCGTCGCACTTGTGTTGAGCGTGCACGACGAGCTTGTGTACGCCGTCCCCGACAGCGCCGTGAGCATCGTGGCACCAAAGATCAAGCAAATTCTCGAGCAACAGGCAGCGGCACTTTCGTTGAGTGTCCCTCTTCCCGTCTCGATGAAGGCTGGGAAGTCGTTTGGTTCATTGCAGTCCTTGCCTGTTTAGCTCGGGCCGAATAGACGTTGGATTGGCCCACCGGCATTGTGCCCTTGGGCAGAAGAGGGAATTCCCCGTGTCATTGTGGGGAGTGCAACGAAGAGAAGAATATATATATATATATACAATTGACTGTTCGCTCTGTTTCTTCTCTGTTTTGCTCTGTTTCTCTGTCTTTTTTTGTTGTTGTCGTTGTTGGGGCCACTTCTTCGCATCCCATCATTTCTCACCCCACACACACACACATTTTTTTTATCTTGCAACCCTGGCAAGGGGCGGCGATGTCTGTTTTTGGTGTACCGCCGCAAAACCCGCCGGGGGCCGCCCCGTCGAAGGCTGTCATGATGCCCGGCCCATTTGCTAGTGTCTTCCCGGCGCCGGCAGACACTTCCCAGCAAAACCCGCCACACCCACAACCGCAAAAAGGACAAAATGCGCCACTGTACGGGTTACAGCCGGTCTTTTTTTCACCCCAGCCGAATCCCCCGGTACTTTCATCGCATGAGCAAAATACATTCAACGCCCCTCCATCGGTGTTTTCGCGAACAGCCGGTATGCAGCAGTCTTTTGGCTCACAAAACACGTTAACCGTCACGCCGTCTATACAAAAAACGGTTCTGCCGTCAAATTCGTCAGCGTCTGGATTTAGCGCGCCTGTCTTTGGTGTCAGTTCTGCCTTTGGGACGTGCCCCATACCGGACAATGTCAGCGCGAGAAGTACCGCTCCGGCATCTACGTCCGTCTTTCAGCAGTTCAGTCAGAAGGGCGATGTCCTCCAGAAGCCGCAGCGTTCCACCACCTTTGGTATGCCAAAAAGTGGCATGAATACGTTGAATCCCGCAGTAGCGTTGCCACAGCCGTCGCAGCCATTCACCATGGCCTCTCCCGTGTTCTCTAAGGAGGAGTCAGGCAACGTGACCTTCAATCCAATGGCGTCGGGGGCTAAGCGAGGAAGGGGTGGAAGTACTCCTTTTGGTGGAAGGGGCGCTGGGCGTGTGGATGTTGCCCCGTCTCAGTTTGGAGAAAATTCTCCTAGACGCGCGCGGAAAGAGCCACCACCAACACCGCCACAACAAAAACTAAAGTTTTCTTCGGCTTTTGTTGCGCCGGTACCAGCACCTGCCACAAAGGGCAGCTGGCAACCGAGGCAACCTGTGCAGGAACAACGGCAAATGACTACCGGAGGGATTGCGACGGAGCAACTTCTCTCTACGCGTGTATTCAGTGCCTTCATGCGCAAGATCTTGGACGAAAGTGATGTAATTCGCGAGGAAGCAGCAGATTTTCTTGAGGATGCGTTTTTTGGGGTTGTGGGCAGTCATGGTAGCGGCGAATTTCCCACGGCGTTGCAGCAGATGCTTGCAGTGTGGCACGAGGTAAAAGAAACACAACCACAGTCGTCTATAAAAGGGGAACATTGGGTCGTGCTCTTTGCTCTTGGTTGCCACGTAAACTTCCTGACAAATACCATTCTTGCTGAAGCGAATGAACAGCAGGGAACTGCGGATGCGGATAACAATAACAACGATAATACTAACAAAGAAGGTAGCAATGATGATAATGGCGGTGCTGGTGACCAGAAGGACATCGTTCTCGGCAACAAATGGGCCGCACTCACAAACAGCTGCACGTATGCCAATATTATGTGTGACATCTTTTTGCAACTATTCTCCAATCAGGCCGAGAATCATGTGCCGTATAGTGTTCTCCCTTTTGTTTTGCGACGGGTGCGAAATACGTTTGAGTTGGCTAATGATGAGGGTGTGTTGGCGGTTCAGTCCAACATGAAGACGACGTTGTTAAAGCTTTATCGCTATGTGCGTGTCCCCACGCTTCAACAAGAACAACATTCTGTGGTGGAGCGACAACGCACGGCTGCCTACGCGTGCGTATTGGGCGAGTTGATGTTGCACAGTTATGCCCCTTCTGGCCGCGATGAATTCGTTCAGTCGTTTCACCAGCATTGCAGTAACATGACTGAGATTCGCTGCGCATTGTACCATCACTATGCTCATAATCTTCTGCAAGAGTCTCTGACTGACACTGTTATCCAGGAGGCCATGGAGCTCTTGGCTCGGGCCTTTGTTATTCTGCCGGAGAGTGCTAAAGAAAACAAACGCCTGCTGTTTCTCAAACTCACTGCATGTGGTTTGGCTTTGGGACGTGTGCCCTCGCCGGAGGAACAGGAGGCATACAACGTGGCCGAGCTGGAGGATTTGATTGTAGCGGTAAGAAGCTCCAACTGGATGCTGTTTGAGATTGCGATGCGGAACAACTCCGAGTTTTATGTTCAGTGCGGAATTCACAATGTGCTGCAGGTTGTAGGCAAACGCATTTCTCTTCTGATGGTTGTGAAGTATTACGTCAACAGCTTCTCGAGTCGTCTGCATGTGCAGGATATGATTGATTATTACGAGATGCCTTTTACGCTTTATGAAGGCTGTCATGTGTGGCTTTTGCCGTTGTTAGTGGAGAAGCGCATCAATGGTGTGATGGAGAGTGGAGTTTTGGTGCTCAGCAGCGCAAACCCCTTTGATGCCTACAGCAAGGAGGCGCTCACTGCCCTTGCTACGAGGGACCAAGGTGAATAGTCTGCAATACTATTTCAAAATGTCTACGCTGGAGAAGAAGCAATACAAAATGGATGAAAAAAGAAAAAGGGGGGCTGTAGGAAGACGTTTTTGACCGACTGCTCAATGTAGAATCTGTTGACTGTATTTCTTCTATATGTCTGTCTGCCTGTCTGTCTGTCTGTGTGTGTGTGTGTGTTTGTGTGTTTGTGTCTATTTATTCTCTTCCTCTCCTCGTGGATGATGTGCGCAAATATGAATGTATTCGTGTGGCGGTGTTTGGTTCCCTGCGTTGATGTTGTGTGTATTTTTTTGTTTGTTTGTTTGTTTGTCGTTGTTTTCACGAATCAGAATGGGAGGTACACAGTGAGCGTGTGTGAGTGGAATAAGGTTCTCTACACGACGGCGGAAAACAAGAGCGTTGACCGTCACTGAAGGAATAGAAGAGGAAATACACATAGAACGATAGATAGAGGGGGGGGGAGATGGAGGCGGATGCGGGTTTAGTGCATGTGACAAACTTCCGCGGTGGTTTGTTGGCTGGTGACGATGAGGGAGAGCGTCAACCGGATGAGGCGGTGGATTTGAAATTGATATTCAAGGATTTTATTGAACGGTTTCGCATTTCCAACGATCATTTGTACATGGCGATGCTGCGGTCAAATCTTGCGGGTGGTCTGTTCTTTATGGAAGTGGAGATGATGCACATACAGCAGTTTAGCAGCACCGTGTTCAACGCCCTTCATTCTACACCTACACGCACTCTGCCACTGTGCGAGCATGCACTCTGGGAGCTTGCACATGAGCGGAAGTTGTTTCCGCCCTTTGCCCGCCAGAGTACCATACAACTTCAATTGTACTGGGGCGTGCCGCCTACGCCGCTCCGTCAACTCGCCCAGGCATCGGTTGCGCGCCTGGTATGCGTCAGTGGGATTGTTGTGAAGGCCAGCCCCTGTCACGCTCGTTGCGTGAGGGCAGCAATTCAGTGCACCAGTTGCTTGAGCAAAACATACATAAACGGAGGGCGTAGCATCGACCTTCCACCGCACTGCTTAGAAAACTTGGGCCGTGCAAATGGTGCTCTCGGGTTTGGCGCCGCTGCCGGTGGTGTGGGTGGAACACAACGTAAATGTCGTCCGAATCCATACACATTACTGCCAATGGAGTGCGAGTACGAGGACCAGCAGATTATCAAGCTGCAAGAACTACCGGAGGATGTACCGACAGGTGAATTGCCCCGTCATGTGACGGTAGTAGTGGACCGCTACCTTGTTGACCGTGTCAGTCCAGGCTCTCGTGTTCAGGTCGCCGGTATTGTTTCCGTGCAGGAAAAACGTGGTAGTCTGGAAGGTGGCAGAAAAAAAGGGAAGGGGATGCGTGGTGTTGCCGGTCTCCGTGCACAGTACCTTCGTTGTGTGGGTCTCATGTATATCACCGCCAAAGAGGGCGGGATATCGGTTCAAAGTGTCAATCAAAACTTTTCATCACGGGTACGGTCGCAGTCCGTGATGTCATGGCAGGCTGAGGACGAGGCTTCCTTCAAACGTTTTGCGGATCAAGGGCACGTGTACGAGAAACTGGCGCAGAGTATCGATCCTGCCATCTTTGGTCTTGAGGACCTAAAGAAGTCTATTGTGTGTCTTCTCTTTGGTGGGACACGGAAGAAGCAGGGAAGTAATTACTTGCGTGGTGACATGAACGTGTTGTTTATTGGCGACCCATCCACCGCCAAGTCGCAGCTGCTGAAGTTTACCGAAAAAGTTGCCCCCATTGGCATTTACACATCCGGAAAGGGCAGCAGCGCAGCGGGTCTGACAGCATCTGTCATTTCCAACGGCAATGGTGACTTTGTGCTGGAGGCAGGGTCCATGGTACTTGCCGATGGCGGGGTTGTGTGCATTGATGAGTTTGACAAGATGCGGGAGCAGGATCAGGTGGCTATTCACGAGGCGATGGAGCAACAGACTATCTCGATCGCCAAGGCAAACCTGACAACAATGCTTAACAGCCGAACAAGTGTGTTGGCTGCGGCAAACCCGACACTCGGCAGTTATGACCCGTTACTGTCCAACGAGGATCAGATGGACTTTCAAAGCTCCATTCTTTCCCGCTTTGACCTCATCTTTAAAGTCCTCGATCCCCGCAACCCGGAGATTGACAGCCGGCTCGCGCAGCACGTCGTCAACCTGCATAAGGGCGGGAGTGGACGTTATGCAAACACAAAGTCGTCGCCTGTGGTCGAGAGGTCTTTTTTCACAAAGTACGTGTCCTATGCACGTGCCACACGTCACCCACGTATCTCTGAAGAAGCCATGTCGGTGCTGCTGGACTTCTACGTTAATATTCGCCGAGAGGCACATCAGCAGATCCTTGAGGCACTCTCCTCCTCCTCCACCTCTTCAGGATCCAAGCCACAGACGCCGATCATTCAAATCACTGCCCGTCAGTTGGAAAGTTTGGTGCGCATCACAGAGTCCATGGCACGAATGCGCTTAGATGTTCTCGCCAACCGCGCAGACGCGGAGGAGGCGATTCGATTGTTTAAAGTGGCCACCGTCGACGCGATCAAAAGTGGCGTGACGGACCAAACAATGACGGCTGCACAAAGTGAATTGGTGCTGCGTATTGAAGAGGCGCTTCGTCGGCGCGTGGCCTTGGGGGCGACGGTGGAGCAAAATAGACTTTTGGCGGAAATGTCGCGCATGGGGTTTGACGCAAAACTTGTGGACCGTGCCCTGTATGCCATGGTGAAGCGAGAGGAACTGGAGTGGCGCAAGCAGCGTACTCTTATTCATCGGCTACGGTGAGAGATTAAGATACTTTTCCTTTTTTTTCTTCTTAATTTCTCTCTTGGCGTGTATCTGCCCCAGTACACATGCCTGCATCTACTCGTCTACACACACACAAAAAAAAAAAAAAAAAAAAACTGTGCAGAGCAGGGTGCCGCCATCATCACACATTCAAATATTTACTCAAGTGATAGAAAGTACATGCAGAATAAGAAGAATAAAGTAAACAAAAAAAAAAGGTACATTGATTAGTTATTGTTTTTCTTTTTTGGTGCTTTCAATGCTTAGTAACCGTTTTGGTTCTGGGCTTTTCTTTGTCTGGCAGTAATGTTCACCTGCATTTACGTTTCAAATCCCCTTCTTGGGTTGTTTTTTCTTTTTTTTTTTGCCACGGAAATTTTTTATTTTTTCTGTGACGATCACCACATGTATACATTTGCGGTTATTTGTCCTACGCGCAAAGGGCGAAAAGGTTTTTGGTGACGAGAGGCCCTGGCAACGTTGTTTTGAAGGCACGGTGAGAAGGAAACGGATTGTGGCAAAGGCTTGCACCAATGAAGCAGTGGGAAAAAGAGGAAGAAAACCCACAGAGATGCCGCCGAAGAATACGGAATGAGTCGCCGGTGGGTGTGTCCGATGTGAGGCGTCCTTTGCCCATACCGCTGACTACTGCCCTTCTATCCTCAAAGCTGCGGCGTGAGCTGCAGCGCATTTGGGATGTCACAAGGGCCCCTGGCAAACTTGAACACGAGGATCATGCTGACGATAGCCACACGGAGGAGGAAGTGGTGGTTGATGTGCCTCCCTTCAAAGTTGGAACAATGGAAATGTACAGGCGATTTCCAAAGCAGTACGACATCTTTATGCGTCGTCATGATTGCCAGGCGGTGCACGAGTACCTGGACAGCATCCTGTTGAGTTTACAGCAAACCTCAGCCACGCCAAGTGATGGAGGGAACTGTTTAGCTGCCGAGGGTAAGATGTGCTTTGTGCGTGTGGCAGACTTTGGTTGCGGCACAGGGCGCATTGCAAGTATGGTTAGTCGGCATCCTGCCGTCGGTGCGGTGTATTGTTATGATATTGCGACGCCGATGTTGCGAGAATGCTTGATCAATGTTGTGTGTTCAGTTGCTGAATCGCGACAAGAGATACGCGGGGTCTGTATATGCCCTAGTGCTTCTGCTTGTGTTGATGGTAATAATGATAATAATAATAATAACGCCTTGGAAACGACAGCTGCTGCTGCTGCTGAAGTGTGTGTGGGCAATGACGGTGTGACTGAGAATTCGGATGGCGTCATGCTGCTGTGCGCGCGTCCTGTCAGTTTTGGGGATGTGCAACAGGGGTTTCTCACCACTCACACGCCCTGCCATCTTGTCGTATGTGCGTGGTCACTTTCCTACGTGATGCGTGCACAATGGGGCGATGACCGCTGGCACGCGGCCATCGATGCAACAGTCGCCGCTCTTATTGGGCTTCTTGACACCTCAGGTCCAGCCGCGCTCGTCATCATTGAGACACTTGGAACAGACACGACGGAGCCGCGGCGGAACAATACTCTCTTGCAGCGTCTTGAATCAGAACATGGATTTGAGCGGCGGTGGGTGCGCACGGATTATAATTTTTGTGATGTGGCGGAGGCGGTGCGTCTCACACGCTTTTTCTTTGGCGACTCGATGGCACGTCGAATGGCGGAGGAGAAACGCACCGCATTGCCAGAGTGTACCGGTATCTGGACCCTCTGGAGAAGGTGACAGGGGGTTTTTTGACATTTTTCAGTATTTGTATATCTACATCTATATATATATATATATATATGTGCTTTCACCAGGGATGGAATTGTTGCAATGCCTCTATCTTTTACTTTTTGTTCTTGTTGTTTTTCTGACTCCTTCTTCACCACCGTCAGTGGTACACCGCCTCTACGTTTTCTCACGGGAATTGAAGAAAAGGGTGACTGGATGCTGAAAGTTCTTCACACGAAAGCTGCCGCGGAGCCGATCTTGCTGGCAACGACGTGCCACAACATGAATCTGTTCGCCATCGTCACACGGTCGTTGGTGGTCGTGTACCGCTCCACCACTCTCACAGTCGTGACAACTCTCCCGCTCAAAATGAAGAAAAACGAGACGATGGTGTCTGCCTGCTGGTCGCCATCCGGGCGGCTTCTTGCTATCGGTCTCCAGTGTGGAGAGTTGTACCTTCTCGACGTCGAGAGCGGCGACCTGATACGGCGCTTTGTACCGCGGAGTGACATTGCGTTTGCCATCAAAGATGCAGATGCGAAAACACTTTCCGGCATTATCGACACCTCCGCAGGAAACGAAATCAACAACAATGAAGATAAGGATGGCATCGACGGTGACAAGGAGGATGATCCGCTGCGTCAACCCCCTATTTTACCCATCTCGGTGGATGGGGCGATCGTTGCGTGTACGTGGGCCTCCGTTGCCCCATCTACATCAGCGTTGCATAGTCACAATGAGCTGTGTTTGCCCCTGAGCACGACTGTCTCCTCGCCTATTTTTGAGGAGCTGGAGCGTGAGGACGACATACCTGTGATGCTGCTGCTGGATCAGAGGGGCGGGATAACTTTTCTTCCTGGTGGTATGCAGGAGGTGTATGTTGTCGTTGTGAATCTTCAATGGGCACTGGATCCGTGTCGCATGCGTGTTGATGCATTTTTTGTGGCCGCCGCGCCACCGCTATCAAATGTCAAGAAGGGCGAGAGCAATCGCTGTTCGAGCAATGCTGTGATGTGTGGTGAAAATACGGGTTCACACTCCGCGTATCTTGTGGTGCGGGAAAGAGACGGAGAGACATCATCGCGAGCCTCCTCGCAGGTGGTGCGCGTGCATCTTTCTGACACCATTGCACGTGTGGCAGATCGCGAGGCAGTTGCTATATGCTCTATCGTCGAGTACTGTCGTATGGGTAAGGTTTCCTATCAGTTTGTGCGAAAACGCTGGGAAAGTCTTATTCGTGCAGTTCGGAAGGATTTATTTCTGCCTCAGAACGCCCTTCTGCTTCGGGATGCACTTATGGAAGATATTGCGCGGCCCTCCCCGGCGGAGTTGTCAGTTTATTTTAGAGGACTGGACTTGGATGCAATTGTGAAGGACACGGAGGAGCTTTCGAGGCAGTTTACGCATCTTGTGCTGCAAGTCTCTAATGTTGCATACCGCTGCTATGAACTTGCCCTCCACCTCTCACAGGCACACTCCGGCGATCGACAGCGTCAGTGTCTTTTGATGGACGTCATTGGTGGGTTACGGCAGCGTTGTAGCAGCTTTCTGCGACAAATGCGGCTCGAGGTGGATCGAGAGAAGGATCTTGTGCACTGGGTTGTACAGCGCGCCGCACCAGCAGGAAGTAAGTTTTTCGCGTCTCACCCCCCACTGCGTGCGGTGCGGTATCCATCTCTACTGCGCACTCTCCACCGCATCGCGCGTGGTGAATCCACGGCATTTTCTCTCGTCGATGAAAACATCACGCGGGGGGAAGAGGATTTGCTGTACATCGTCAAGGGGTGCTTGCTGGGCGGCAGGGAGGCCGTTGCTCGCGTGGTGCCACTGCTGGATGACATTAACGTTGAGTCAATTCTTCAGAGGCAGTGCGAAGTGCTCGTGCCACACGTGGCGGCAGGGTCAGGGGCGGAATGCGTGCAGCTGCATACCGTGACAGTGACAAAGTCGCAGCCCTGTCAACCCCTTATGGCCTCCTATACATTTGAGCCACGCGGCGATGCGGAAGTCTTTTTCCTTGCAAAACGAGGAAGCGTTGCGGTTGAGATTGAACCCTTGCAGCTTGCCGAAGCAGACGCTGCTTTCCTGTGGAGTGGCGTTGTGGACGATGGGGGGCGTTGTGTGTTGCTGTGGGAACGAGCGGCGCCATCGTTTGGTGGGGCAGAAAACATGCTGGTGGTTGCTGTAGTGGATGAAAACGGCGCCGTTGAAGTTGCCGCAGACGCGGAGGATGAGGCCAACGGCGAGCCGAACGACACGGGAATAGAGGCGGGGGTTTCCAGGCACGCCGTGCTGGAGATCAAAGGGATTTCCACACGCCACCTGCGGGCGTCGGTGAGTCGAGCGCGTGGGTTCGGTGTGTTTTACGCAAATGAGCGCTTTGTGGTGGTGGATTTCTACGGTGGCTGAGGGAGGAGGAGGTGACGACGACGACGACGACGCGTGGAGAGCGAGAGAGAAGCGAAAAAAAAAAAAAAAAAACAGCCGGTGGGGGGTGGAACAGAATATTGAGTGAGTAGATCTCAGTTTGTTTGTTTGTTTTTTTTGTTTGTTTGTTTTTTTGTGTGTGTGTTTTGCCTTTTTGGGATACGGGGACGTCCACTTGTACTCACTTCACTGTGGCTGTTTTTCTTTTTGTCTCCTTACAAAAGTCCAGGCGGTCATTTGTATGACCTGAGCGATTTCACGCTGTCGCTCGCCTTTCTCTTTGCTTCCCTCTTGCGCTCCCTCTCATTTACGTACCTTCACCGTACATTGTGACTGTTCCTGCACCTTCATATCTGTACTGTTGTTGTAATGTTTTATTTTTATTTTTATTTTTATTTTATTTCTTCTTCCTGCGTACTTTTTTTTTTTTTTCGCATTTGTTATTGCGACACGTCGGCAGAGGCTCTTAAACACACTGGCGAGTACACGGATACACACGGGGGGGTGGGTAGCAATCACAGAAAAGCATCATGTCTCCAATCTCTGAGAGGTTTAGTGAGTTTGCAGAGAAGTATCGTCTTGTGCAGGCGTACCGCAGTTCTCTGGGAGCCGCTATGACAGCCTGGGGATGGGTACAGGAGCGCATGTGGCCTGTGTATTCCACCGGTCTCATTCTCTCGGCCCTGTTTATGTTGGCATCGGCGAACGAGAAACAAATCCTCGCCGACCATCTCTACGGCAGCGACGTCGTCTTGCAGAAGGAGCGGGAGAAGACAGTCGAGGAGGCTCGAAAACTCTTCCGGGAGGAGTCGGTCCAGGGAGTGAAGCAGGTGGTGTGGATGCTGCCGAGTGGTGAGTTTAGGGGAGAGTATAAGGAACGCTACGGTAATGTGTAACGGGAATGCATTATATATATATATATATAATTTGCCCCAGGGTGGGTGGGGCTTCTAACAGGACAACCGGGAGGGGAAACATGAGGGAGAAGGAAAAAAGGATATATATATATATATATATATATATATATATATATATATATATATGCATTTATATCTGAATAAGGGGGAGGAAACGACAAGAAGAGGTGGTGGTGGTTGGCGTGTGGATGGGTGGCTGGGTGGGAGGTGTGTGTGTTGTTCTGTTTTGTTTTCTCTGGAAGGCGGGAAAGAGAGGAAGATAATAAATAAATAACAGCTTTTCTCACTGATTTTGGACCCCCCTTGCGCGTCTCTTTTCATTGGCGTTTCATCGTTCCTTGCATTCTAAGACACACACACATACACACATGTCTCCTTCTTACCCTGTGTGCATGCATGCGTGTGGCTGACATCATGTTGAGATGATGAAGTTGCGGAATTAAAACTCTTTATCTCTTCTTGTCTCTTCCTTCCCGCCCTTCTTTTTTTTTTTTTTTTCTGTTTTGTGTGCTTGATGGGAACACTTCCTCATTACGTCTGCCGTGGCGCCAATGAACACAAGGACGGGGAGGAAAGGAAGACGAAAAAAAAAAAAAAAAACTTCTTTTTTTTGAAGGAGAACACACAAGAAGAGGCGGAATGGCGGTGAGCAGCGCTCGAGAATCCGTCACCGATCTTTTGTCAGGGCGGGAGGATGTTAGAACGGTCTCTTCATCAACAATGGCGCAGGAATCGACGACGATAAAAACAGGGGAATTAGGTGAAGACGGCGGTGGTGATGGCGTTATCAGCGATAGGAGTAACGTGTTAGCTCGTGTCTTTGAGGAGTTGCTTGACGCCGAGGTGTCGATGAATCCTGCGAAGTTGCGTGAGGCTTCCCGTGCCGGCATTCCGTCTCTCTACCGCAGCACTGTCTACCGCTATCTACTGGGCATCACCTTTGTTGACCATTCGCGTGAAATGTCGTTGGAACGAATGCAGGAGAAGGACTTTGAGCAGCTGTTAACAGCCTTTGGGCGAATTGTAGCATCTGACGGAACCGGGCAACGGCCCTCTGTGAAGGGACGCATCATGCAGCCGCTGGCATCGCCCAGACTGCATGACTCTGAGACAATCCCGCTTATTACTCGGGATGAGAGCCAGTTTGCAAACGGATACCGGTGCTCAGATCGCAGTTTCTCTGTAGGTTACGCGGCGTGGATCAAATTCCGTGCCAACTTGAGGTATCTGCCTCGCTTTGTAGGAAATCCAGAGAGACGCCAGCGGATGGAGTGTGCGTGGCAGGCCTTACATGTCACAAGCTCCGGAGCGACACCTGACGAGGTGGAGAACTTATTTGAGCTTGCACTTGTGTTTGAGTCGGTGCATGGCACTGCGCGGGACATTTACTTCTCCACGTCTTCCCTCTACTATCTGTTGACGCATCACGGAAATGTACTGCAAAATGCGCAGTGTCTGCAAAGGATGTGCGGCACGTTTCTCATGCTGTTTCGCGCTACAAACTTTGATCTTTACCGTCACTTTGTAGCAGAGAGTGTCACGGCTGTGGAGTGGTTGCCGGGTATGCTCAAAACCCTCCTGGCAGGTAGGCTGCATGAGGAGGACCTGTTGCGCCTGTGGGATGTATATTTGGCGGATGCCCTGGAGTACCTGGGTTTTCCGCTGCATCCATACGTCTGTCTGGCTATTCTCGAGGAGATGACGGAAGTGTTGCTGGAGTGTGAGAAGTCCGGCATCATTGAGCGGTTGCGACACCTCCCGCGCATTGAAGCCGGTAGCATTATTCAGAAGGCCATCTCGCTGAAGGAGTCTGTCTTCTCAAAAGATCTGCTGTGAGACAGTCTGCTTCCACCCCTCTGTGTTTGTTTTTGTGTGTGTGAAGTGGGAGGGAGAAAATATGCGCTGAATCAAAACGGAGCAAAGAAGACATTATTTTGCAATGTAGTTGTGTATACTAGTACAGGTGCATTTCTCTTCTTTTTTTTTTTTTTTTTCTTTGTGTGTGCGTGTCGGTCTGTTGGGCTTCTACCTGCTCCAAACATGTGTTACGAAAGGTAGGAAAGAAGGGAGGCGCGCCTGTGGGGGATGAGTGCTACCGTCAGTCCGCGGAGTTATTGGGCCGCGTTGCGGGAGCAGCGCACCGCCTCGCGCACTCCCGTCACCCCATCGTCACCAGCAGAAGCAGCAGCAACGCCGCGGCCAATCCCTCTGTCGCCACCGTGTCGTGAATTTGGACAACATTCGCATGGCGAGAGTGTTGTCATTGAAAACAGTACTATTCTGGGGATGTTCAACGACCCCTCCGATGCGGCGGCGGGTGAACTTGTGCACGTGAGCAAAGCAAGCAACGGCCGTGGCAGATCCCGTTCTCTCGTGATGGACTTCATTGATGAATGCGTGCTTAAAGGCATGCCGGAGTCCCTTATCGTTGAGCATGTCATGTTTATGGTCCACGCGATGCAGGAGCAGATAAACTTGACGGAGGCCTTGCACGCGCGGTTTCACCACGACCGCCTGCGACAATACGAGGTCTCCGAACTGACAAACATGTTAGAGCGGCAACAAGTCTACTACGACCAACAGCAAGAGTACAGCAACAACAACAAGAAATGGCAAGAAATCGAGGAGACAAAGTGGAATTTGGTGCAGGGTAGAGGGCGTAAGGATCATGCAACACCCCGTCGCTTTGCGCCATCATTTGTTGGTCCCTTATCCACCGATGCGAACGTGCGGACGAAGGCCGTGCCTGCTGTGTCACGTGCGGCTGTGGGCAGTCGCGCTGTGGGGGGGCGTCATAGGGAGTCTGCGTCACGATTGGGTACGGAGCGTCATTTGCGCGTGGCATTCACACAGACGCCGACGGAGAGAAGTGAGCAACAACTGCACGGAAGAGTGGTGTCTCGGGCCACCGCGGCACCAGCGTTCCAGCGTTTTATGCGGCCGACGGATGCCAGCAATAGGAAGGAACGACGCAAGTACAGTACGATATTGGGGGAGTCTCTCACTCACCCTCTCCAGTTGCGCTCAGGTCAACAGCAGGGTTTTACGTGGACGGCACGACAGGAGGGAAAATCCCATGGTTTGACGATTAAGAAAGAAGTGTTTGCCCGACGTGGACGTCAACGGCTTGTGGGCGAAGTGGGGAATACCGGCGGTAGTCAGTTGACGTGGTCGGATGGTGACGATGATGACAAAAAGAATACGGTGTCTCTTTCAAAGTGCCGTGGCGAGGGTGGAAGTCCTGGGCCTCGAATAGAAGCACGGCAACAAGAGGGAGAGGCTACGCCCTCTGATGTCCTGATTTCTCCCATGTCGCCGCCCCACAGCGAAACTCTTGGCGACGGTGACGAAGCCACTGCACCTAGGGTTTATGATGTGAACAGGTGGAATGAAAAGAAGAGAAAAGAAGTCCTGACCGATTCGGGCCGACGGGGAATAGAAGATTCCCTCTTAACTGTCCCACCACCATCGGTAGCGGCAGCGGCACCTCCGTTATCCGTTCACACCCCTTCATTGTTCCCTAATCCACAGCTGCTGGTGTACATTGAACAGAGTCGGCGCAAGGTACGAGAGGCGGAGCGTGTATTGGCGAATTCACCTGGAAACGACTTCAGGAGGGGCGTTCAATGAGGTCAGGCCACATTCACCGAAATTTTTCTCTTCTCCGGTAAATTGTCGGAGAGTTTCTGAGAGAGACACGTCTCAAAGGGGAATGATGGCGCCTTTTGGGAGATTTTATTGCTTTTTGCTTTTCACATCTCACTGTTTTCAGTTTTGTTTTTGTTTTGTTTTGTTTTTACTTTTTCTCAGCTGTGTGTATGCCTGTGTTAGAGGGAATAAATCCGGAAGACTTTGTACACTTTCTATTCCGATTCAAACATGCTTCTAATGTTGCAGGGGGGCGGAGGTAAGAAGCCGATTCAATGTGCAATGTAAGGGGAGGAAGTAAGAGGGTGGAAGTGTGCGGTGGGGTGCCGCTCTGTAACTGTGACTACTCACAATGACTCTCCTTTTGCTCTCATTCACTCGCATGCACACGTAAATACACCAATGGAGTGATTTTAAAATTGACTGAGCCAGGGAGGGTGCAGGGTACTGTAAAGTTTTTAAAAGAAAAGAAAAAAATGGCAGAACGGTTTTGTCTGCACCTGGCGCCCCTTGATGTCAGTCTCATGACGGATGAAAATGACGGCGCGGTAATGCCACTGGTATATGTTGTGGTTCACATGCAGGAAAGAGGTGAAGTTATGTATGAGGAGGCAGAGATGCGTGCAGAGGGGCAGGACGCAAAATCCAACGCATTGCTTACGAGACTGTACCACGGAGCTGCTAGTATTGTGAGCGAAATTGAGGAGGGCCGAGTTCTTTTGGGGAGCAGCCCCATGGCGTCAAGCTCCCGTCAGTCATCGGCGCATGTTCATCTGCAGAACGGCGGCCGGTTATTTTTCCGGCACCCCGTGGAGGGTGGAGACTACATGTTGACTGTCACCATCCCAGCGGGGGTATGGCGGTGGTTGGGGCCGATTACGCTGCAGATTTTGCTTGCGACGGCGGTGCGAGGATATGAAATTGCCGTGAGTGTCGCCGCAGTTGCCTCTGTCCCGACGTATTACCCGCTGCGCGACCGTCTAACGGAAAGTTTGGACGCCGTAGAGGATGCGGTGCGGTCGCGAATAAGGCGAATAATGGAATTTGTTGCGTTTTTGAATGAATGTGAGCACCGTGAGACTGCGTCTTCTGCGGCTCTGTTGCATGGTGGTCAGGAGGTCGTTGTTGTCACACGAAGGTTGTGTCACGATCGCCCATCATTGATTCGCAAAAATAGTCGCCTATCAAGGACGCTGCAACAGTTATTATGGTCTGCGACGAGTTATTCAGACTACGTCTCCCTGAGCGGTGCCGTTTCTAGTGGAGGCATGCGTGATGGGTACAAACGTCTTGTTGTCACGGCTGCGGCGGTGTGGTACCATGGAGAACCACTCTTCAGCAGTGGCTCCAGCGACGATTATGAGGCATATCTTTTGCCAGCCGCTATTGTGGCATATGCAGATCGATGTTTGGCAAGTCGTGAGGCCACTGGCGTGCAGCAGCCCATCACAGTGAAGTGCATCTCCATGCATGTGGAAAACCCCCGAATTGGGTCTTGCACCGCCGGGTATGTGAGGCAACATGGAAATGCAGAGGAGAACACGGCCGCCATAACTGCCGCGTTTGTCTCTTTAGGAGGGTGGATCATCGCTCTGCGCATGGAGGCCGCGTTGAATGCCTTCACTGGCGCCCCGATGCCGCATATTGTCTCTGGTGTGACAAACCTCATTACGAGGAAACTTGAAATACCTCGATTTGAGGCATTTGTCCGGCTGCCAACCGTTGAAAAACTGATGGGAGTATCGCAAACCACCGCCAGTACCACGATGACGGCGAGTAACACTTCTTTTGCTTGTATTCTACGTGCTGTGCGACACCTCGGCCTATTCGCACATCCCTGTGGCGACGCCAACCACCTAACGACGGCTTTTCGGGACGTTTGCCTCTACCGCCACCGCAAGACCGTCACAAGTGCAGTGGAGAGCAATGAATGGAGCCTGTGGCCGCAACACGCGCAAAGGGCCGTGCAGAGTCTGGTGGAACTCACTGCGCTTACGTTCCGACGGCGCCGTCGGAAGACATGCGGCGGCATTGATCGATCCGCCCCATTTTCGTTACTTCGCGGACGTGACTCAGTTCTTGTGCTCTTGGCTGCCCCTGTTTACAGCCCTGTGCCCAAAGTCGTATTCTTTTTGGCGGAAATGGAGCCGCAAGGTATTCCAGCGGCCGAAGGGTTGCGTGCCTTTGCAACGTGGGTCCTATCGAAGGCTCTGTGAGGAACAGGTGGAAAAGGAAGGGCGAAAAACACATTTGTCGTTGTTGTTTCTGTTTGTTGCCGTCTTCTTGCGCCCTCTACCTTTTTTTTCCATAGACTCAGTTTTTTGCGACGACACGAAGTGTTGTTTTTGTTTTATCATTATTGTTGTCTGTATTTGTGGTTTTAACTCTCTTTTGCTTACGGAGGCGCACGGATTTTACGAATAAAATGCTCTTTTCCTTTTCATTTTCCTTCTTTTTTTTTTTTTGTTTGTCTTCTGCCATTTTGTACGGCGTGTGCATTGTATGCCTGGCAGTGCGGGTTTCTGCGTGTTGAGAGCGACACGGCACTTGGAGGGGTGGCACCCCATCTGGTCGGTTGCTCGCATTGACCCCGGGAATGCAGCGTGTCCGTGGCATTCCATCGCCCGCGAACCCAACGTGCCGAAACGAGGAGGAGGAGGATGAAGAACTTGTGCGGCAGCTTGTCGAGGCGGCCGATGTGGACGAGGTTATTGAACGCATGGAGATGAAGCACTACCGCCGTATCTCCCCCATCCTGCAGGGCCTGAGGCCCTTCCGTCGCGCTTCAGCCAGCAGTCTAAAAAGACGCCCGTCGTCATGCGAGACACGACTCGGAGCACCACTGCGCTCACCCGCGGAGGATGCTGCGGGGCCGCGGGGAAGTCACGAGGAGCCCATGAAAAATATGTCGTCTCTGCCGCATCCCGTGGCGTCCACATCACCGACACCATCAGATCAGAGCACACGCGAACAGAGAAGGCAGTTGTTAGCCCTTGGCATAAAAGCGCCTGCGCGGTCACCTCACGCATCCGATGGGGATGCCTCCTCCGCGCCACACGAGAATGACCACACGGAAAAGCCATCCGTGAACAGGCGACATCGGGCGCGTTCACACCGAAAGAAAATTCTGCGGCCCCCAATTGAATCCCCTAGCGTGGTAAATTCACCTCTGACACCGCTTTCTCCCCTTTCTCCCGTCCCAGGGCAGGCGGCTATCCAATGCGTCACAACGACGTAGACGTAATACTGACATTCATCGAGCATCTTCATTTGGTGGATCGCCCCAGCATTTTGGGGACCGTCAATGGGATCTCCAACGGTCGTACCGTGAACTGTCCGGTCTTCGCCCCCCATCCGTTGACAAACCCTCAAGACGGAGCCAAATTGCCCGGCACGAGTACTATGACCCCTCTCATGACCCCTCCTTTGGTGTAAATGCCTACAGGGGAGCTCCCACGCAACCAAACACGGATACCTCGTTTATATGGCGACGATCCTCTTCGCCTCCGGTCATTTTGCCGCCCTTCGCATCTCCCGTGGAAGATGATGCAGGGACGCAATACACTGGGAGGGCTTCGCACTACAATCGTGGGGATTATTGGGGTCATATGAGAAACGGTTTTGAAGGCACTCCCACCGCCACCACGGAGGAGGCGCACACGCCGGATGACGTGGAATATGATGAAGAGGAGGATGTGGAATTTGTCTCGGGCCCACCACGTATCATAGAACGCGAGCAACACTTACGGTCTCGGGTAACGGAACCGCCACTGAATAAATTTGACGGACGTGTTGTTCCCAAAGGCAGTAGAAGGAAAAGTGTGGGTAAAGTGTCCCCCGCAAGAGAGAACAACAATAATATTAATAACAATAGGAATATTGATTATGACCATGGCAACGATGGTTTCAGGGATCCATCGTATAACACGCACACTGTCGAGCCACGATTGCCACATTACGTGAATGCGAAGGGCGCTGGGTCAAGTAACAAATTCATCAGCCCGTCCGATAGGGAAGTCACACAAGAGGGGCACTCTTTATCATCATTAGCCGCACCATCACGAGATTATGCCATGATGGATTTGAAAGAAGAGGTCGATTTTTCTCATAGCCGTCGTCAGTCGTGGAGCCACTCTACGGGTATGGTGGAGCGAGGGCTTTCCACACAAATTTTAGGGACAAGTGAAAATACATTACGTCCGGATCATAAATTGGTACGTCAAAATGGCCAGCGCATGAGCCCTGCATTATCTCCAACGCGTCAGGATACCCCGCCACCCGTTTCTCAAAATCCACGTGACGAGAAAACTCGGTCTGAACGAAATGTGGGCTCCAATAGAAAAGTGGATGAAGGTGCGCAGAAGCATCGAAGAGGGCAAAAACATGCAGACGAGGATCACAGTCCGCATTCAGTGAATAGGACCGAGAGGAAAGAGAAGAATATGGTTTCCCCTTTTCTTTCAAGTGGGAGTGACTCATACTCGTACACGTACTCTAGCCAAAGTAGCTCATCTAGCGCCGCATCGGTTGTGAACTCAACACCAGGCCCACCCGTAGAAGCCGCATCAAAAAACGTGCCAAAAAGCAGTACTGTCGCGGTGAAGCCACGGTTAGAAGTCAAAGTGTTCCCTCCACATAACCCCCGTGTGCACCCACGTCCCAAAAGTCTCGGATGGAAAAGGAGGAACCCACCGCTGCTTCTCCCTCATAGCGTGCTGCAAAGACAGCCAGCAATGGCACCACCACCGCCTTATGGAATGACAATGGCGTCAACGGCAACAGTTCGCCCTTTACTCCGGAATTCGTTTGTAGAAATGCGTTCCGACGGCACCATGGGCCGTGGCTTTATTTCGTCTACGAGGACATCCAATGCACGCTTCCCTTCTAAGCAGCAACGCCCACAAACAACGTATTCCACAAGTATTCCTCGCTTTGATCGGAATGCGCAAAGCGTCCCCGGATCAACGACGCCTAGGGCGTCATGTGTGTCGTCTCCATCATATCCTCAGCAGGGGTCGACAGGGGCATCCGTGCCAATGCCAAAGCCATTGCCAACGCAGATGGTTCCCAGAGGGTCATGTCGAAGCGCCTCTGAACCTGCTGCTACAGCTCGGTTTCCAATCGGGGCTCAGCCGATCGTTTGGCGCACGAGTGATGGTGATTCCGTCGCGGGCAAAAATCGTCGAGTTCCTCCTGCCGTAAAAACGGGTCTGACCTTGTATGGCGTTCTTCCTCAACAGCGAAGTATGTCCGTGGGAGACAATCCGCCGCCGCCATGTAAAATTCCCCTTAGAGCGAGAAACTCGATAGGTGAGAGGCGCAGTCTCAGCGCCAACCGGGTCGTTGATGTGCCACAGCGACGGCCGAGCCAAAATGCTTTGCTCGCTGCCAATCGGACGCGAAGGAGTTCTGTGGCCATATCTTTTATTAGTCCATCAGATGGCGAGGTTTGTCCAGCGCAAACAGTCTTTATACAGCTTCCGTACAAGGCCAAGTAGGCATGTGTTATCGCGCTCTTCTTTGCTCCCAAAAGAGGAGTGCACCCTGTGTAAGTTTTTAGGTCTTCGGCAGTATAAAGAATGGATTTATGGAAATGAGGATATCTTTTACTGCGTTAGACAGTATTCTAGAAGCAAAATGGATGGAGGCCATTTATGTTATTGGGTAGACTTTCTGTGTTCGCTTGTTTGTCACTTTTTCCTCTTTTTTTCTTTCTTTCTCTCTCTGTGTGTGTATGTGTGTGTGTATATATATTTTTCATTATTAAACTGTGTGGGAACCCAATCCTTTACGATTGTGTATTGGGTCGGTTCTTCTTGCTTTATATATATATACATATATATATATGTTTACCACGCATGAACACACTGTGATGATTATTTACGGGAATGTATTCTGTTTTTGTGTTTGTTTGCTTGTTTTTGTGTTTTTTTTTTTTTGACTTCAGAACTATTTCTGCCACCCTCATCTCCTTCCATCGCACCTGTGCAGTGAGGAAATTGTTGGTGGCTTATGATATATCAACTTCTTTCCTCAGGAATATAAATGGAGTTTGTTTCTCTTCTTTTCTTTTCTCTCGTGTGTGTAGCTAGGGAGATTAACGGAGGTTGGTGAATTTGTGGCGATGGTGGCAGTCACAAATGCCGCCAATGTTGGTGAGCCGTGGGCCGAGAAGTATAAACCGAAGACCATCGCGCAGATGTGTTACCCTTCCAGTGCGAATAAACTAAAGGCGTGGATAGAGACATTTGACTCCGGGAGTTCCAGGATGCGAGCTGCGTTGCTCTCTGGCCCCCCTGGTGTGGGGAAGACAACTTCCGTTTACGTGGTGGCAAGAGAGCTCGGCCGCATTGTCGTTGAGTATAACGCCAGTCATTTCCGTAGTGGGAAGTCCCTTCGTGAGCACGTCACAGTTTCCATTAACAACAACACCTTCAATATGAATGCCTCTTCTTATGCGAAGAGCATTCTTTTAATGGATGAGGTGGACGGCTGCGACATTGGGGGGGTGAAGGAGATCATAGAAATGACGAAGACGACAAAAATACCAATTGTGTGCACTTGTAACGACCGTTGGAATCAAAAGCTTCGCCCTCTCCTGAATTACGTGGAGGACTTTCGTGTCAGTCGACCTCCGTGTAATATTGTTGCAAACTATCTTTGTGACAAGGTGTTGGCTCGTGAAGGAATTTCGTTGTCGAAGCAACTCCTACAAGACATCATTCAACGATCTGGAAGTGATATTCGAAGCATGTTGAACAACCTGCAGATGTGGTGTCTCAACCGTACGTCGCTGGAGCAGAAGGCCCTCGCAGCGTGTGCTGTGCAGTCGGCAAAGGATGGAGATGTGGGTTTGTTTGACGCCGCGGAAATGTTTCTTCTGCAGGGCACCTCACGTGGTAAACCCCGCTCTATTGAGGAGTTGCAGACGGCCTTTTACAACTCGGATCTGGTAGACCTGTTCGTGCAAGAAAACTACATTCACTTTAACCCGGAGGACCGCGATTGGATGGAAGCCGTGGCGGATGCAGCCGACTCGATATCGCTCGCAGATGCTCTGCAGCGCATCATGTATTATGAGCAGAATTGGTCTGTTTCTCGTGCCCATGTGCAGCTGTCTAGCATTGCACCCTGCGCCATCACACGAGGCCACTATGAATCCTTTCTCTCCGGACAACAGGTGTTTTTTGACCGTCAACGTCCCGTGAAATTTCCAACTTGGCTTGGGCAAAATTCCAGTGCGAACAAAAATAAAAGGATTATTCGTTGCTTGACGCTGCAGGCTTTATCACCTTCCACGGGGGGTATTAGTGGCAATCAGGAGGATGTCCTGCTGGACTACATACCGTTGGGATGGGAAGCTGCCCTGACACAGCCGCTTGTAGAGCGAGGAAAAGCGGCTGTGGACGATGTCATTCGATTTATGGATCAATACCACATCATGAGAGATGATTGGGAGTTTATTCAGACCGTCCCACATTTCAAAACTATGCGGACGTCCAATGATAACGTCGCAACGGGAAGCATCCCAGCTGCCGTAAAGTCGGCATTTACACGGGAATTCAACAAGACGCATCGCACCGAGAGCTTTGTGAAAGGGGCGTTGCAGCACATGGGAGGTGTGGAAACCCAAAGTGAATGGGCCGAGGAGGATACAGAGAAGGAAAACGGCGGCAACGCGCTTCTGAAGGCAAATGCGGGAGCCAAGAAGACGGCTGCCGCGAAAAAGACAGCAAAGAAGGAACCCGCATCAAAGCCCAAGGCAAAGAAGCCGTCGCTGAAAACTAAGAAAACGGCCAAAAAACGTGGAAGAAAGGCCACACCGTCAGACTCTGAAGAGGAGTTCACTGGGGATAGCTCTGATGACGACTAGTGGCAATTTTATCGGTGTCTTCCCCTTGATTCCGGTGAGTGGGGCGCATCTGGGCAGGTGGAAGAAGCGTGTGTGCAGGTCCCTTTCCTTTTCTTCATCCTTGCAACTGTGCAGCTCTCCTGTGGTATTTGTTACTGGAAAATTTTTTTGAAAAAGGAGGAGAGGGGCGTCGGGGATCTGCTTGTTCCATGCATGGTGCGAGGTGTTGAGGAGCTTTTTCCCCCTTTATTTTATTTTTTTCTGTTCGCTTCATTGTCACGTGTGTTTGCGACCACTACCGGCATCCTATTATTATTATTATTTTGCTTTTGGTTGGTTGTTTGTTTCTTGGACGCGAGGTTCGTGGGAGAATTCCGCCCAAATAAACACACACGTACACTGCCGCAGGAAGTTCTTAAGTGTTGTTGTTTTTGTTGTTGTTGTTTTTGCTCAGTGAATTTTTTAGGCGTGTGCGTGTTCATGCTTGAGTCTCTGTGAACTTTGCTTTGAGGCCATTTTCTCTCTCTTTTCCATTCTTTTACTGTTTCTTTGTGGGAAGAACGGGGAGCGGTGTCCGTGTAGGGGAATGCTGCAAGAGGCCGTACGGCCAATTGAGCATGTGCGGATCGGCAAACACGTCTTCCCGCTCTGTTCCCACCCAATTCTACGCAAAAAATTGGAGGATGACGCGCTCCTGGAGAGAGAGATTGAGAGGCGGCTTCAGGACCCTCAGCTGCAGCTTGCGATGAGTGACGTCGTGGAGCGGCTCCTGAAGGAAGGCGTGAAGGGCGGCATTAGCGAAGAAATGACGGAAAATTATTTGGACGAGGCGCTCGGTCGCATTGATGAGCATTTTGGTGACATTAGGACGGTAGGCACATCGTCAGCGAATTTGCCTGCCAATTTGACGACGAGCGATTACCGACGTAATTTTCTTCCCCCCGTGCGACCGTTGCCCCCCACCGTACGTCGTGTGTTTTCGTTGAAACGCTGTATTGGCACCGCACCAGCCGGTCATGGGTTGTCGATTCAGCAGCGGGGGTTGCGTGCAGCACGGGAACACAAACACCACGTGACTCCCCAGCGGGATGTCAATAAAGAAGTGGATGACGAAACGGGATCTTTCGCACTTGTGGGACTCTCTCGAAGGCATCTTTTTTCCTCGTGCTTTAGTGGCATTGAGGAGGAGGAGGAGGAGGAGGTTGATTTTAGCCCCACGAATTCAGTTCCACGGAAGTTTTCTCCAAAATCCACACATCGACGAGGAGACGACAGCGAGCAGCGAAGATCAAAAACGGGGTCCTCACGTCATTCTAGGAGGGGAACTTCGCCTGAATGGAGGAATGCCTTGCGCTTGTTGTTTTACTCCATGTTGTCACTCCGCCTGGAGGAGAGCGGCGGGGTTCGGCTTGAAGAGATGGATCTGCGCGGCCGGTCACAGGGGCTGCTGCGGCTGCAAGGCTCTGTGCTCTCCATGCTGAATCAAGAGGCGTTTGGCGCGTTAGATGTGACACTTGACGGAAATTCATCTGCCATTCACCGTCGTCAGCCAGCTGTGACAAGCATCCTTCAATGGTCCCACGCCCAGCGGGCTGAGAGACCGATCGAGGTTGGGAAAACTGCGCTGCGTCAAAAAGTACTGAACACGCTTGCGCGCCCGCACCAAATCTCCTCCATGAGTAAGAAAGTTGTGTGTGCGACGGGGACATCATTAAACAGCGCATGGGAAAAAATGGAGCCATCAGTCACCCTGGGAATTGCAACGAGAGGCACCCAACTGGAATTACCAAGCGAAACAGGCCGCAGCCGTATCATGGCATCCATTATGGAACGAATCAAAGTGGGCCATACAGAAATGGAGAGCAACGATAATGTACAAACGTGAGAATCACAAAGCATGGGCCCCGGCTTATCTATTTGCCCTTCTCTCTCTCTCTCTCTCTCTCTCTATATATATATATATATATATATATTGGGACCGTTGTGTTTGTTTATTTTAAGAACAAAAAAAAAAAAAAAAAAGAAACAATATTTTTTTACCACTCATGTCCGTCTGTCTTTCCGCTGATGTCAAGACTGAACTCCCCCCCCCCCCCCTACCTGGTCGTTTCTCTTCTTCGTGGTGTGGCTACTGGACCAAAAACAACTAACAAAGAAAGAAAGAAAGGGAGAAGGGGAGAAGGGGTATCACTGGACGCCGAAACCCGCAAATTGACTGGTGGTTGTTGTGGTGAAAGCAAAAAGCAGAATATGTCGGGTTCCCTTCTGCAAAAGAAGGAATCCAAAGCACCGACCACACGATTGTTGAAGAGTAAGAAACCGTCCAAGGAGCCCCTGAAGACAGAAACAGCCGTATCAAAGGCGGAGCCGTCTAAAAAGCCGACGGTGACTTTAAAGACATCTAAACTTGCGCCCGCCGATTCATTGGCGAAACAAAAAATGGCTTTGCATCATTTAGAGAAAACCGGTAGGTTATCGTCTCATTTAACAGCATCGAAAGGAAAGAACGATGGGAAGCTTTCCTCTCCTGCATTGTCTGCACCCGAGACGATATCGACCGCACCGCCTCCCTTGTTGGCCCCCACACACTCAGAGACATCCTCTGAGGAATCATTACATTTGGATACTTATGATGGCTCACTTACTCCCGTTGAGACACCCAGAGAAATGCGCCATCCATATGATAAGAATACATTTGGGCGAGAGAAAGGAAATTCTACACATGCAGAACCTTCCGTGGTGGAAAAGAAATCATGCGAGAAGGATGTTTCTTTCAAGCTGCATGCATCTACTCAACCACCATCGGTCACCCTGGTAGAAGAAACAAAACGGCAGACTGTGGAAGCGGGAGGACAAAATAAAGGGTTTTTTGACAAGGAAAGTATCATTCAGCAACTGGTTAATGCTGAGGAACGCAATGGACAACTTATGGCGGAAGTGGCGCGGCTTCAACGTGCATTGGATGCGGATGGAAACGCAAAGTTTGTTCAACACGCATTATTAACAGAAAGTGAGGTGGAGAAACTAAAACAGGAGCTTCTGCGTGAGCGATCATCTACAAGGCATCATCGCGAAGCTCATATGGAGGCATTGATAGAACTTGGTAAGCTGAAGGAAGCGGTGGATCGATATGGAGACCGTGCCTCGCTGCTCAGACGCAACGCTGAGCTAGAAGCCAGAATAGATGAAATGGCAAAGAAGACGGTCACACAGGACCTTATTATGGCAAAACTACGCGAAGAAACGGCGCTGTTGGAAACACGGCACGGCAATTCCTCTTGTGGCTCCGAGTATGTGACGGTGCGTCATGCCAGTCTTTGTGGCCTCTGCCGCGAGAGGCTGGGGGCCGATGCGGGTCGTCGTGTGGCACGCGACCGTCTGGCCCAGCTGGCGGCACTGGAGCCACTGGGCGTTGTTCCACCGCCTCTCTCGGAGTCTTGGCCGCCTGAGGTGACGCGACGACTGCAGGAGCCACGCGAGAAGGCTCCGTCCACTCCTGTTCCGCCACCATCCGGGGATGCGGCTTCTTTATGGCGCGATGCTGGAGTTGATGCACAGCCGCAGCACGTCAGCAAGGAGGGCATCGGAAGTTCTTCGGCGGCGTCAAAAGGGCCTTGTGGGGCAGCCAATATATGGAGGGAGCTCCCTGCCATGGACGGGCGAGCACTGTACTACAATATCGTCACCAACGCGACCACATTTGAGCCCCCAGCATTGATGGATCCTGCGAGTGGAGAGAGAAAGGGCGATGAAAACAAAGGTTTTGCCACGATTGAAGGGAAATAACCCTTAATGGGCCGTTGGTGTTGTTTTGCCCATTTGTTATTATCTGATTGTGTGAAAAATACCAGGACATTCGTGCTTCTCCCTCTCTTTATTTTTCGTGACCAAATGGGTGGTGGGTTCTTCTGCTTTCTCCGTCATGCTTTCAACAATTCGTAGGTTTTTTATGACGTGGATGAGCCACTGACTGAAACGGGATGACTTGTTAGGAAGTCTCTTTCTTGAGCTCTGAGCGAAATATACACGGGTCTGAGGACTGTCGTGGCGCTGGGATTTTCCGTCATGTTTTGCTGTGTTGGACTCTGAGTGTTTTTTGTTGCATGCTTTGATGTAAAGAGGACGTCACTTTGTATGTGTGCACGTGGGTTGTCTTCCTTTATTTCCTCCTGTGTGACGGTCAGTGGGCAGAAACAATAGAGGAAGGGAGCAGCGGTGGCGGTGCCGGAGCGTTAAGGGGGAAGGGAAGAGAAAGAGGAACGGGTCGAGCCAAGGATGAGCAAGGCGCCTAAGAAGCGGGGCCTCTCGATCGAAGAGAAGGTCTCTCGGGTCGAGGAGTGGTTCATTTCTCACCCCACACCGTACACGCTGAAGGATTTGCTGCTCGTGCTGCCGAAAGCGACTGGCGTCATTCCTCAGTCGATTGAGGAATGTCTGGAGCTTCTCGTCTCCGAGAATCGCATCTGCCAGAAGAAGATCGGCGTTCACGTTTTATTTTGGCGGTTCCCCAAGACGGCGGCGCAGCAGTTGGCTGCGACATTCAACGCCACCGGCGGTGGTGGGGCCTCGGTCGTCTCGAGGTACATGAACTTGAGCTTGCCGCAGATGCAGAAGGAACTCAACGCGCTACGAGAGGAGGAAGCGGGGGCGCGTCGTCGCATTCAGGAGGTGTGTGCGGGAATTGGCGATGACGCATCCGTACGTCACGACACCATGAAGATGCGACAGCTGCAGGAGGAGGTCAAGGCGCTTCGGGTGGAGCTGGAAAAAGCGGCTGTGTTTGATCCAGTCATGGTTGAGAAGGTGAAAGCCACCACAAGAGTGGCGCTGGAGTCTGCCAACAGGTGGACGGACAACGTGTACCTTTTGGAGCACCACATCTCGCAACGAATGGGGTTGACTCCAAGGGAGCTACGCATGCGGCTGCAACTGCCCGCAGATGTTGATTACATCGAATTTGACGAGTTGGTGCCTGACCGCGAAGCGAATCCAAAGACCACGGCGGCGACTCTCGAGAGGATGTCCTCCTCACCCCAGCGAGCTGCGGAAAATGCCGCAGGCGGTGTGGTGGAAGCCCCATCACGATCCCCCGCTGCGGAAGAAGCGGACACGCCCGCAGCAATTAACACAAGCAGCACGCACAAGGAGGAGGAGGAGGCTGCGCCTCGCAACGGAAAGAAGGACACCCGCAACACCCAACAGCGGATCAAACGAGGCCGGGATGACGGCACGGTGGCGGCGAAGCAAAGCCAGTCAGTGGTGGCGGATTCCCCACGGAACGACGCCAGTGAGGACGCACCGAGACGCACAGTCGCCCGCCGTGGCAGGAAAAAGAAGGAATTGTAAAGGTGGCCTTCTCAGTAACAGCGGCCTCGCATAAATCATCCCGCGCCAGCAATACGCACACAAAAAATGTGTCTAGGGAATTTTTGAGGAAATAAACCGTCGCCCGAGGCCTTTTGCTTCACCCGCCACAACCCCCACCAAAACGAAGCAGCAGCAGCAGCAACAAAAAAAAAAAACAGAGAGGGGAGTGAAATCCCCGATTGTAAAACATACTGACACTACTCCGCCCTCCACATTTTTGGCCCACAGCCTCCATAACGTAAGAAAAAAAAAATGAACTGATCGTTCTGCGGCTCTCTTTTTGCCTGTTTTACTGCATCGTGATGTGGCTCGGTGGGGAAGAGACGATCCGTTGGCGACAAGCACACGTTCCCTCTAGTCAAGGACGTACAGCACGATGCCGAGCAGAAAATTGCACGGACAAGACGGAGAAACATATCGTGTCACCCACGCTACGACAGTGTTTCCCGTATTGCACAGACCACTGCATCTATGGCATTGAATGTCACCACCGATGCTCTGGATAATCCTCACAAACTTCTTTTTGGCCTATTTAGTTCTCCTCCTGCACCAGAAAATCAGAATGCTTTAAACGTAATGCCCACCTGTTATTGGTTTCTCCCTGTGCTGCCCTGGCCATTCTCCAGCATCGCACATCCGCGAAGCCAGCGCAGCGTATGCATCCTGACCACACTCTTTTCTTTGCCTTTTTTCCCCCAGAACGCTTTTCCTCCAGTAGCCTCCAGGCTAGAACACAGCAATGGCAGTAATTGGCTTTCAGTCATGGCCTGAGTTTTTTGTCTATCTCACCTTCCTGTTCTTCGGGGTATCGATCACTGTGGCGGGGAC